ATTGGCCTAGTTATACTGATGTGATATCAGCTAATTAATTCGTTATCACACAAGTTTCCAGTTATAAACTGAACTGTATTGTGAAAGTTTATCTGCATGCTATTTTCTGATTCTAGTATTACTATCGGCTGTGGAAAACTGTAACCAGCACCAGTAGGCATTATGTAGTGTTCTTGGTCGTTATATCACTGTCATTGGTCAGAAAACGGTAATCGCACAGTTGGCCAATGGGTCATTCATACTATACAGTCAATAATCATAATAGGTGATTAAACTGCTTCTCAAAATAGATGGCCTGATCACATGGGCCCCTATTCAACTCAAAGATCTGTTCTATTTTTCCGTTGCATTACTGGTACATTATACATAGGAAAGCATAAAAAACCTAGCTGAGTAAATATTTGATATACTACACGATAGAAACTATCTTATAAACTTATTTAGATTTTTTCGTTCACACTCAAGTGGCACTTTCATTGTCTTATTGCCTAATGTGTGGTGAAATAACTGAATAAAGATGTGATCGGAATGAAATAAGAAATACATGAAAATTGATAGATGTTTTGGTGGATATGGAGGATCCACCTAGGGGAGTTGAAAAAACCCTCATTCCAAACCAATGGTACACTTGGGCTCCAGGAGTCTGAGGGAATAAATGCCATATGAACCAATCGTTGGTCACAGACTACGATGGGACTGCATGTCCTGACGTTGGTCCACTGCCTTGTAGATCAGACCTTTGGGTTGAAGGCTTCGAGTGTAGCCCCTAATAAAACCGTATACTTAGATCTGAGCACACGGGTAGTACACAATTCAAGTGACTTGTGTGGCTCATATGTGTTCAGTGCACCATTGTACCAATACCTATGTGTTCAAATAAATAAATAAACGATATATATTTTCAGTATGGTACCAGTTCTGTTTATTGATGAAGTCTTTTTTCACAAGAAAACGAAATTAAGCATGACACATAGTTGAAACTAAGCCTAATGTATGATGATGTGGACAACCTCGACTATTCTGCTTGATATAATTTCACTGACAGAATTTGTCACTATAGCAACTAATTATTCAACTTCTCGAACAACAATATCAATGGTTGGTTATTGAATTCAAAAAAAGTTATGCTATGTCTGAAGCGATTACGAGTTTGCTTACTCCAGGAACGGAACAAAGACCGATAAGCTAGCTATTCTGACGCGTCCGAGCCCCGCCAACTAGAGAGAGAAGTCGAAGTCCAAACGGGGAAGTATATTACGCAAAAAGCCAGAAGCACGAGCGATAACAACAGACACAAATCAAAACGTATATATACAGCACAAAAACCGTCTTTGGGAAGCGTTACAAAATAGTATACTAAAAGATACAACGGACCGACATAAAGGCGAAAAGAGCGCTTTTGACGCGAAAACAAAGAAATTCAAGTCTTCCAAATAAAATTACAAAATTAGTACCTTTCCAAGTGAGTTCTGGGGATCTAACGTCCCCAACAGTTATCATTATATTTTATTTATGATTAGCTAAACTTGTCAGGTATTTCATTTATTAATTGAATGTATTTGATAACTTCAGTTCCCACACAATGAAATGGGTAAGTTTAGGAATCATTGTAATATTGGATAGAATGATGTCATTCAGTAACTCCTTATTAAATCAGTCAGCTACAACGTAGGACCAGGCACATATGTGCATCATTCCAAGTTGCCATACCGCATCAGCACAACAAGATGAACACTGAATTCATAGCAGTGGTTAGGTCAACGGTGGTAATATATAAGAGAAAGATTGCATATAGAGATATAGTACAAGAAGAAAAAATTGGTTCGTAGAAAGAAAGATATGAAGTGAGGGAAGACAGAGAGTGTATACACCGACGCCATTGTGATCGATTCTGAGCCATGTCACGAAGAGTTTCCAACCATTGGTTACGATAGTCACGCGGACCCCAACCAAGTAGTCTGCATCTACCAACATGGCCCAGACTAGAAGTTAGTGACCTCAAGCACTGATGGAACGTTTTGGTTTGGCCCCCCTTAACTTTCTTCCAACCATTTCCAATATCGGATAGCCAAGGAAGCCTGCTGACCGATTTGACATAGGGTGCGTATGTTGAAGGCTCCAATGTGTAGTTTGGAGTGAAGTTTCAGTAGACCTGGGACAGAGTTTTGAGCACTAGAATCGTTGGCTATAGTGACACTTGAGGAGGAAGCCGAAAGAGGAAGTTTAGAGTTGAAAGTCGATGTAGGAGGAATAATAGGAATTGAAGAGGAAGGTTGATTATGAATACAGTGGTCTTGAGTGCTGCTAGAGATATGAGGGCGGTTATCACTTCCCGGTTGCCCACACCGTGGAAGGGTTCTTCTGGAGGTACCTGAAAAGGAAATTGGATTAGAGGTGGTCTCAGTGACCTGAGAGCGTGACCGCAGTGCCCAAGGGACAACTGCTTGAGGCCGGTCGCGCACGGCCTTTTCGTGGGAGGTTTTTGACGTGTTAGCTCCGTTCTTCAAAGGGCCTTACCGCTGAAGACGGAAATCCGTGAGGTAAGATGAGGCGTGCATTTTTAGGGTCGACCTTTTCTAACCCCACCCCTCCTTGTGGGAAGGCAGCATCGCTGTCATGCTGGTTGTCTGAAGGAAACACCTTACTGCTGTTACACCTCTGTACAGTCAGCAGTACGACTTCGGACCTTGGGTTTCTTGCTTTTAGTCTTACCGCTCTTCAACCGACCTTTCTGACATGGTAAGACCTTGAGGGACAGTTGTTCCAGCCAGTATAGCTCGGTTGCTTCATCACGATAGGCAAGCCCGACCACCACGTCAAGGTAGCAACAACGGTCGGGTCTTATTAAATCCCCATTTAATGAAAATCATTTATAAATAAGCGATAGTAATAAACACAGTTAACTTCAATGAAACAATTATCTTTCATAAATATTTCTTACAAAGAAATAATAACTGAAGTCCTACACCTACGAGCGAACCCGAATGATCTAAGCAGACGAAATAGAGTACTATTAACTACATTATAGCTACTTATGATTAGTAAGTAGAAATCTCTACTACTTCCATTTCATCTTGAGCTTGATCAGCTATTGTTTGAATATTCCATGAATAACTAACTTGTTTAACATTATCATATTTACTTCATACATGCTACAATAAATTTGATTAGTGATTATCTTCGCCTGGAGCCCCTCTTGCGCTACTGCCGGTCGCAAGCCCTGGTTAAGGAGGTGGGTAGGGCATGGGATTAGCGACCACATGCAGTAGAAAACCAGCTCACTAAAAAAAACGCTAACCAGTAAAAATAATTCAAACTCTGCCCTGGGAGTTAGAATATCTTCATTTAGAAGAGTCATGACGTCTCATGATGAAAGCAGAATCCATTCGGAAGTCACGAGGTTGATTTCCCTTCCGACAATCAGAATAACCATTAATTTAAGTACATAGAAAGTATTTATCTGATTGACTAATTTCACTTATGTCATATATCCATAAAGTGAAACAATTCACTATTGATTTTGCAAAAATTAACAAAAGTATGACATTAGAAATTCTTTCATAATCATCATTAAGTTAATCAGACTTGACAAAAATCATCTGAATTGTTTATTGTAGAAAAATTTCATAATTGTAACCATAAACTTATCAAGTAATTTCACCAACAAAATTATGTATTTGCATCTTTCTATATTATAATCTTCACTGATGAAGTACTCAGCTATTAATTAATGTGAAGTTTTGTACACTACTCAGCAATAGGTTATTTTCACTTTGATAATTTTTTGGCCAGAGTACAATTTATGGACGAACCAATCAGATATAAGATTATAGGTCTCGGATTTGGGAGCGAAATTCACTCATCTATTTGGTTAAAGAATTTTGGTATTATAGTTGATGTCATTTCGTGATGGAAACCCTAAATCTAATTCCTAACCTGAAACCATCAACAATAATTCATAATTCTTATTCCTCACATAGGTTTATAACCTTCATTTGATCTTAGTTATTAGATGGACACTCTCAAGGTCAGTCTAGAGTCACTCAAAGATCGTTCATAAATTATAGTCTCACCCTTCAGGCGATAATATACGCTTGCTAAAACGCAGTGAAATTGATAGAAAAACCAAGAATAGTTCTACACGAATATCTAATCACCCATAATATCTAACCTGTTTTACCAAAAGGTGTACGAATTGTAGAATCGTTACTGATATGAAAGTCGAACGTTATGTGTAAATACCAGTTTCCTAGATAAAACTACTATTTTCCACTTCATTTATCTTAACATTTCCACTATTAATAGTTCTATCCTATTCAAAAAATTCATAGTTCTTGAAATCAACTTCAATATGATCTTCAGAATACAAATGGGGCGGAAACCTGGAGAACTACGAAAGCCAACATCCAGAAGATACAAGTGTTTATTAACAGTTGTCTACGCAAAATACTTTGGATCCATTGGCCAAACACTATTAGCAACAACCTAATGTGAGAGGGAAAAACCAGATTCCAGCGGAGGAAGAAATTAAGAAGAAGCGCTGCAAGTGGATAGGACATATATTGAGGAAAGCAACCAACTACGTCATAAGGCAAGCCCACACATGGAACCCTCAAAGTCAACGGAGAAGAGGAAGATCAAAGAACACATTACGTCGAGAAATGGAGGCAGATATGAGAAGAATGCACAACAATTGGATGGAACTAGTGTTAGCGGGATATAAACTGGATTAAAGCATGCTCAATGCACGATTGCTTTGGTACGCGTTGATTGGCTCATTTTTATCCAATCAGCGTTAGTTAATACTTAGTGAAAACTAAAAATCTTCTCATGTGAAAAACTATAAATATACTAGTGTTTTCCCTATTGACTACTGGCTTGCTTCTTACTTCTATCTAACCTTGTTATTTGGAATATAATCTCTTTTCCTGTTCAACCGTGTTCTGATTTGGGGACTTGTCGAGTGAATCGGTGTCCGAGAATACTAAGCAATAGGAATAGCTGGGTCATAACCGTAAGAAAGAGATTATAACAACTAGAAAGGAAGGCTCAGGATATAGTGGGTTGGAGAAGGCTAGTCGGTAGCCTATGCTCCATGGAGGGGGGTGACAGGCGTAAGTAAGTATCAAAAACGAAAGAGAGTAATAATTATACAACAGAAAGTATCCATTCAACATCAAATTTACTGATATTGACGATGACACCAACAACAACAACAAGTCAAACAGTGTAAGTATGGATCTTGAATAAAGCCAATATATAAATAGATTAACAGAGTAAATGTAATTACATTGACAAACGTATGTAGCCCTATACACACATATTTATATTAAATTTACTTTGTAAAATTTTACAAATTCTATGATGAAAACAATAGACAAATAAAAAACGAATCATTGGAAGACATACAACTGATATAAATAAACTTAAAATAGAGAATAATAAACGTGGTGCAAATATCTTCCATACCATTAAATGACGACGTAATAAACCAGTACTTAGCATACAACCTAAAGTCTACAATGAAAAACAAAAACAAAAAAAACTTTTCTTTGGCAAAGATGTCAGTGAATATCATTCGTCATTTGATTAGAATGAACAAACAAACAAACAATTACGTTCAATGATTCATATTTTCAGTCCCTTTTTTAGTTATTTTAACACATAGATATTGGTACAAGGAAGCACCGAATACATATACGCCACACAAATCTCATTCGATATGTATGAGGGCTGTGATACTGCCCGGGTGCCCAAAACGAAGCAGGTGGTTTTCTTAGGGGGGCCACACCCCAAGCCTACGACCTGAAGGTCTGATCCACAAGGCAGTGGAGCATCGTAAGGAGATGCAGTCCCATGGTAGCGAGTGACCAACAATTGGTTCATACGCCATTTGTTCCTGCAGGATACTGGAACCAGCCCATGTGCACTATTGATTTGGTTTGGGATCCGATGAAAGCGCCGGACATTCACTTTTCGTCCTCTCATTTTCGTAAACAACACCCCCGCTACGAGAAGGAAGTGAGTAGGACTTCCCTGGCAGAGGCTATATACGCGTGGCCATGTGAGAGCATTTCCAGAAAGAGAGCGGACTCTCCCCACTTTCGGCCGTACCAGGGCATTTCAGTCCCATACTACTTGTCATATTCAAGTTATTTTCTTTATGAAATCAAGATCAATGATCATCACGATGATGAATCTAAATTTTGTTTGTTAAACGAAGCAGTTATCAAAATGAATATAGTGAATATCACTAATTGAAATCTGATCGAGACTATAATTTATGTACGAATGATTCAGATTTAGGGATTTCGGTGTCGAATTCATTCATCCATTTGGTTAAAATAGCGTCTTGACATTTTAGTTGATGTCACAGTTCGTGATGAAAAAACAATAAATCTAATTCCCAACCCTAATCATCAACCGTGAATCATAATCCTTATGCTTGAAACTGCTTTATAACCCTCATTTAGTCCCAGTAAGTAGGTGAACATTCTCAAGGTCACACTGGCGTCACTCAAAGGTCATCCGCAAATTATGGTCTCACCAAAATCTCTTTGGATCGAATTCATTAAAACTATGTGTATTACGATATTATGTATATAGATTTTTTTTCAACCAAGAAACCATGTAGATAAATTGCACGTCGAACGCCCCCAAACGCTCTGGTACGACCGAAAAATGGGGAGAGTCAGCCCGCTTCTCGAAATGCTCTCACATGGCCATGCGCAAACAGCCACTGCTAGGAAAGTCCTACTCACTGTCTTCTCGCGGTGGGGATGTTGTTTACGAAATTGAGAGGACGAAAAGTTAATGTCTGGTGCTTTAACCGGGTTGGTGGACACGGTAGATTCACCTAGGGGAGTTGGAAAACCCTCATTCCAAACCAATGGTGCACATGGGCTCAAGGATCCTAAGGGAACAAATTGCGTATGAAATAATCTTTGGCTACCGGCTACTGCACTCAGGTGGTATTCCAGCCCATACACAAATCAAGTGACTTGTGTGGTGTATATGTATTCAGTGCCTTTTTGTACCAACATTTATGTGTTTAAATCAATCACCCCATAAAAAACTTTACTAGTTATCAAGATTGTCTTGAGTTCTGAAATAAGGGATCGTGAACCGAAAATCTAGTGGTCGACTGATGATGAATACGTATAGAGCCATTTTTTATTAAGTGAAAAGAATATCAGATGAATGTTAAGTTTGAGATTAGATTACAACAGAAAGAACAACAATGTTCGTGTAAATTATCACACAGTGAAGAAAATAGCAACACTTCAATTAGTTTTTACAGATTTGAATGTGACCACCTTGGTCTCTTGTGCTGTTACGGGTATGAGGGCTGATATCACTTCCCGGCTGCCCACACCGTGGAAGGGTATTTCTTGAGGAACCTGAAAAGGAAATTGGATTAGTGTTGGTCTTGACGACCTGGGAGCGTGACCGCAGAGCCCAAGGGACAACTGCTTGAGGCCGGTCGCGCACGGCCTTTTTGTGGAAGATTTTTGACGTGTTAGCTCCGTTCTTCAAAGGGCCTTACCGCCGGAGACGGCAATTCGTGAGGTAAGGTGAGGTGTGACATTTTTAGGGTCGACCTTTTCTAACCCCACCCCTCCTTGTGGGAAGGCAGCATCGCCGTCATGCTGGATGTCCGAGGGAAACACCTTACTGCTGTCACACCCCTCTACAGTCAGCAGTACGACTTCGCCCTCAGACCTTGAGTTGCTGCTTTTAGTCTTACCGTTCACCAATCGACCTGCCTGGCATGGTAGAACCTGCAGGAACATCTGTTCCAGCCAATATAGCTCGGTTGGGTCATCACGATAGGCAAGCCCGACCACCGCGTCAAGGTAGCAGCTTCGATCGGGATAGTCAGCCTATATTGAATGGGGTTATTAGAATGAAAGTTGCTAATCAAGGTGATTTGTCAAAAATTAGTCTCTAGACCACTAAGCCGGCATCCAACAGTGTTAATATCTAACTTCAACTAATCCATGTGTCGCTCAATTTCGTGGATAAGTCGAAGTTAGACATTAACATCGTTGGATGCCGGCTCAATGGTCTAGAGGTTAAGCGTTCGCGCTCGAGACCGAAGGTCCCGAGTTCCAATACAGCGAGGCGGGATTGTGGATGCACACTACTGAGGAGTTCCACAGTAGGACGAAACGGCTGTCCAGTGCTTCCAGGTTTTCAATGGTGGTCTAACATCAATCGGTTCATGATCTCAATCAAAAAACTTAACAATCTCCACAACCCCTAAACTGATAATTACCATGTGCTCACTAGTGAATAGCTTCGTGAGAAAATTCTCGCAGTTCTGGTGAGAAGCCGTGACCAGTGGAGCTAATCCGTGTCTTGTAGAAACAGGTGTCTGCCTCAGTACAATGGAAGATGGTCGCGCAACTTTGTGGATTGGTTGAAATTAGACATTAGCACTCTTGGGTGCCGGCTCAGTGGTCCAGTAGGTTGGGCGTTCGCGCGCGAGACTGAAGGCCCTGGGTTCAAATTCCGCGAGCGGGATCGTGGACGCGTATAGATTATTATTATTATACATCTTACTGTTCAGTTTATTGATTACAGTCTCCCATGTTCAGTCACATCTTGGCTTGATCTTGTGTATTATTTCTTATTTTATGGTGTGATGCGGTCTGTTTGGTTGGTAAATAAGTCAAGTATGTTAGAAATAAATGATTCTCATAGTGGAAGTTGTTATTGGAGTTCTGGACTCAACTGGAAGGACTAGGAAGAAAAACGACCAATAAGGAAGATAGGTTGCTCATACCGGTTGAACGTCATTGGTTTAGCACAGTACTAATATTGAATAAGTCGTATTTCGATTGGCCAATAATTCACGTGATAATTAGCCGGCCTTAAAGTCACAACATATTTTCACTCGAATATCCCACAAAATCTGAAGTTCTTTAAATAAGTCGAAGAATGTTGACTTTATAGAAATACATCCAAGAATGCATGGAATATTATATTGTATTTGACTTTATTTCTTCGAATGATCTGATACCCTTTAGCTAAGTTAAATGTTTTTGGCTGAGCATAACGAGAAAGCAGAGTCACTGTTATGCTAGTTGTTTGAGGGAAAAACCTTACTGCCGCTACACCTCTGTACAGGCAGAAGTACGACTTCGCCCTCAGGCCTTAAATCTACTGGTTTTAGCCTTACCTCTCGTCAACCGACCTGTCTGGCACGGTAGGACCTTGAGGAACGGTTTTTCTAACCAGTATAGCTCGATTGCTTCATCACGACAGAAAAGCCCGATCATCACGTCAAGGTAGCGGTAACGGTCGGGAATCGTTGATTTCATGAGTTGTGAATAGTGCATAACTATCACATAGAATGAGAAAATATTGTAAATGTTTACACATATATATTTCAGGATAGTAATGTAGAAATATTTCACAGCGTAGTTCACTCAATTAGTAACAATTTAAATTAACGTTCAATAGTTTTAATTAGCATTCAGATTTCAGTGAAAAAGTTACTAAACTGATTACTAAACCGTAGTCAATATGATGTTTGTTTACAATTTAGCGTTGATTACATTGTACTGACCAAGTTGAGATAGGGCTGTAATCCTACAAGATTCAGCATAGTGTGCATCATATTTCGATGTAAGGTCATCGGAACCGATCAATGGGAATCCCTAAGCCTAAGTTCCATTCTTTTTGGCATTTTTCATCAAAGTTTATCTACAGTTTTGAGGAAACTAATGCTTCCAATGACATTCGAATCCGAATAGTCTATTGTGAATGATCAATTTATGTGAATATTCAAGTACTATAAGGAGTTAACCAGCACCAGAAACGTTCGGTGACAATGTCTTTCTCTGAACTTGGTTGGATTCCGCGTGACTATCGTGACCAATGGTTGGAGACTCTCAGTAATATGGCTCAGAATCGATCACAATAGCGTAAGTGTACACACTCTTTGTCTTCCGTTAAACTACGAGATCAAAACTGCTTCATATCTTTATTTCTACGAACAAATTCTTTCTTTCTGTATTATATTCTTATATGCAATCCTTCTTTTATATATTACCACCATTGAATTTACTACTTCTATGAATTCGATGTTCATCTTGTTGTGCTAATGAGTGAGGTGCAGCAACTTGGACCGATGCATATATGTGACTGGTCCTACGTTGTAGCTGACTGACTTTTCCTGAACCCCTTGGCTGAGAAGGAGTTTTCAACTAACACGAAAATTACATCCACGAGCAAGTCCCATTACTGATAGATAATTTAGTCTTGTTTTGACTCAGAAAATAGCCTTGATATGTCCTATTAATGAAAATATACTCGTACTAGTTACACAAATAAAACTAGATATTTTTATTGCATTTAAAACCACATGAAATAAGATCATTAAGGACGCTAGCCAATAACTTACTAACACACTTTTACTAATAATAAATCTCCAAATGAATAAATCCAAAGCATCGACAAATCTGTAAAAACCAGTATTTCGGCTATTGTTAGGATGGGAATGGATCACCGTCCCATGGACATGATGAAGGCGTGCAGAAAAAATAAGAATCGTTGGTATACTGAAAGCAATTAATATAGGACCTGAATATAAATGCAAGAGAACAGTCAATCCTGGTAACCATCGTGTATTATGGTCACCTTCATATGTAGCATAAGCGGCATCCCATGGAATTCCAGATAATGTTGGTTGATGACCAGTTATAAAAAAAGATAAGTTATCTAACAAGCAAAGAAAGATTGCAATAATCCATGAGATGCAGTTCTGAGGTACATGAAGCTGTATTGAATCTAAAGAAATTACAAAAAGGATGGATTAGTTAGGGGATACTAAGTCTGTTACTGATGATAAAAAGGAGCTTAACGATATATTATGATTTCTAAGAAGGTAATTTTTTCATTATTTGATAATGAGTGAAAAATAAGTGAGGAAACATTAGAAGTTGTATTCGTAGGGTTATCAGGAAAGATTCACAGTTTCCGTAAACTACATTAACATTTGATTGTTGACGAGACAAACAGGCCGATATGACTAAGTAATTTTATATGATAATAAGAAGGGATTGTACACGAAACGAAAACATATACAACTGATCCCTCACCAGTATCTAAGATAATACGATGGAAGAATGATTCATGCTGATTGATCCAATGGTAGGATAACTTGGTTAACAAGATCACTGAGGCTAAAAGCAATATCTGAAGTAGAGAAATCCCTATTCTATAATTTAACAGAATGATATATATATATAGGTGAAAAGCTTTAAGGAGCATTCCAGCTGGTCTTCAGCTAATCTAAAACTAGCACCATTCCCAAACAGCCTGAATGCAACGCTGAAGTAGACCCCCCGATTAACTGAAGTTCAAAAAGTCATAGCTAATCTATAACGAGGAAGAGCAGTTGGTCCAGATGGATTGGCTCCAGAGGTCTTTAAGGATGGCGGTCCAATTTTAGCGATTAGGTGGACTAATAATTTAGCTAAAATCTGGGAACTGGATGTAATCGCATCTGACTGGTCTCAATCACTGATCGTCCCAATATATAAGAAGTAAAACTCATCCTGTGATAACCATAGAAAGATAAGTTTAACTAATATACCATCTAAAATACTAGCCTCAGTAATTATCAGACGCCTAATAAAGATTCGCGAACTGCAAACAAGAGAAAATCAGGCTGGCTTCAGACCTGGTCGTCAGATTTTGGAACTAAGGCATGCTTATCAGCGTCGACAATGATAGTTTTTCGTGAATTAAAAGTAGCATTTGACTCGGTTCTGTGGCACTGTACGTCATTGAAAGGCATACCTCAGAAGTACATAAACCTTGTGAACGCTCTTTACTCCATCACTGCCAGTCGAACTGTCATCTAATTTTGCAAACTCAAGTGGTGTCTGTCAAGTCTGCCCACTTTCTCCATTTTTTTCAGTTTCATCATTGACCTACTACAGGAAACAACGTTCTCGTCGACTGAATTCTCGGGCGTTGATCTCCCTCCAGGAAGTCTACGTATCGATCTAAAATACGCAGATAACATAGTCCTGCTTGGTAAAGACGCTGATAAAATGTAGTCTTTTAATAGAACTGAACAACAATTTCAGGATGTTTGGGATGCGTTTCACACCCTCTAAATGCAAGTTGTTGATTCAGGACCGGCTTGTGTCAACACCTGAACTAAGGATAGGGAGTGAAGTAGTCAAACACGTCGACAACTTCACTTATCTTGGAATTATGATCAGCCCTAATGGGTCGGTGTCTGACGAAATATCAGCACGGATTCAGAAAGCTCGTTTGGCTCTTGTCAACTTACGTCACCTATGGCGAGGGCGAGATATCCGTCTATCAATTAACGGACGAGTGTACTGCACGGCAGTTCGTTCTGTTCTACTTTACGGCTGCGAAACGTGGTGATTAAGAGTAGGAGATACCCGTAATTTACTAGTATTTGATAAAAATGCCCTAGAAATATTGCTCGCATCTGCTGGGAACACCGGGTAAGTAATAGTAAGATTAGGCGCAGGATATTAGGAATGATGGTAAATCAGTTGATTAGGCTGTGAATCTTCATCAACTGAGATGGTTAGGCCACGTGTTACGTATGCTTGAGCTCCGATTACCACGACGCGCAATGCTGAATAGTGTTGGGAATGGTTGGATGAAAGTTAGGGGTGACCAAACCAAAACGTCGCATCAGTCCTTCAAGTCACTAACTTCTAGGCTGAGCCATGTTGGTAGATGCAGACTACTTGGTTGGGGTCCGCGTGACTATCGTGACCAATGGTTGGAGACTCAGTGACATGGTTCGGAATCGATCATAATGGTGTAGGTGTATGCACTCTTTGTCTTCCCTTAAACAACGAGATCAAAATTGCTTCATATCTTTATTTCTACGAACAAATTCTTTCTTTGTGTATTATATTCTTATATGCAATCCTTCTTTTATATATTACCACCATTGAATTTACTACTTCTATGAATTCGATGTTCATCTTGTTGTGCTAATGAGTGAGGTGCAGCAACTTGGACCAATGCATATATGTGGAGTTCAACCAGGTCTGTTGTGAGGTAGTAACTCACTGAAGACAATGGTGAATGGGTCGCTCAATTTCGTGGATTAGTTGAAGTTAGACATTAACACCGTTGGATGCCGGCTCAGTGGTCTAGTGGTTAAGTGCTCGGGCGCGGAACCAGTAGGTCCTGGGTTCGAGGCTCGCAGGGGGCGAGGTCGTGGGTGCGCACTGCTGAGGAGTCCCACAATAGGACGAAACGGCCGTCCAGTGCTTCCAGGTTTTCCATGGCGGTCTAGCTTCAACTGACTCATGATCTTAACCATTGAAATAAAAAGAATGTTTAGTACATTGTATATTTGAATAAATTATAATATTAAACTCACTTTTAATACATTTATCCATATGATTACATTTTACAGTAGTTGCATGTATACGTATTTGAACGAATATAATCATGAAAACTAACCAAATTATATGGAATTCATTTAGGAAAACAAGTAGAGAAAGTAATGGTAAAACTGTTAAACAGGTCATTGTCCATAAAGTGTACAGATAGAGAACACTTCTTTGAATAGATTGATTACAATCATTTGACTGCATAGATTTTATAAAATTTATCTGTTGAATAAGTTGAAATGGAGATTTCAAAAGTTGAAAAAATATGTAGAATATAATCATCAAGAAAATGCGAGCAATCCATATCCGAACTGTATGCCTAGACAAATAAAATGTACCATTCAACATTCAATATACTTAGAGAGTATCAAATGATCTCATCTTTAGCAAAGAAAAAAAGTACTCATTTAGTCGGATGATAAAACACTGATGCAAGATTAGGATAGATAGGATTTAAGTGTTTAAAAACCTGGATAATAAACAGTCGAGATGTAGATGTCTTAGCGGTAATCAAAGGAGAACCAGGATTTCACATTTACTCACACTAATTAACAAAACTAATCTACAAAAGGATTTATGATTTGGGAGATTTCGATTCGCTTTCATCACCGCCTCATTTACAAATGGTACAACTAAGCTATTTTGTCGAAACTCTACACTTTCAACTTATAAATAATGATTATAACTTCACAATTTTCTCTTCATAACCTGATGGTATAACTGAAACACGAGTTACCTAAATATTATCAATTGTAAGTGAAAAAATTATCCCATAATATTATCAGTTATTATTAGATGTTTTCTTTTTTTTAATGCTTTTCCGCAAACTAAGATGTGACAAATAATTTAGCCGGTTTAACATTAGCTGATTCCCCAGATTAGATGTTTCAAACTGGAAACAAAAAGAGACAAGAGGGTAGAGAGATTTATGGAACTAAGTTTACAAAATGTTCAAGATCATATGATTATATAGGATTCAGTTTTGACTTAATATAGTCGAGGCCTAGTGCCTAGTGCTATGGGCACTTTAAAATCTGCCCCCAAATGCCCTGGTACGGCCGTGAGTGGAGAGGGTCCGCTATCCCTCTCCAAATGCTCTCAAGTGGCTACGTGCATACAACCACTACCAGGGAAGTCCTACTCACTCTTCTCACGGTGCGGATGTTGTTTACGAAATTAAGAGGACGGAAAGCGAATGACCGGCGCTTTCATCGGATCCCAAACTAAATCAATGGTGCACATGGGCTCCAGTACCCTGCGGGAACAAATGGCGTATGAACCAATTGTTGGTCACCGGCTACCACGGGACTGAGTCTCCTGACGATGCTCCACTGCCTTGTAGATCAGACCTTCAGGTCGAAGGCTCGGGGAGTGGCCCACTGGGAAAACCACCTGCTTCGGTTTGGGCACCCGGGCAGTATGACAGCCCTCACACATATCGAATGGGATTTGTGTGGCACATATGTATTTGGTGCCTCTTTGTACCAATATCTATGTGTTGAAATAAATAAATAAAATAAAATAAAATAAAACAAATAACAAGTATGCTGTTTAATATTGAGAACCTCTAGAATAAGACAGAACAATAATCTAGAGTAACTATGGCCAAATGACAAATTTATATATTTAGTTGAACACATAAATATTGGTACAAAGGGGCACTGAATACATATGCGCTAAACAAACCACTTAATTTGTGTGTAGGCTGTGATACTGCCCGGGTGCTCAGACAGAAGTAGGTGGTTTTCTCAAGGGGCCATATCCGGAGCCTTCAATCTAAAAGTCTAGTCCACAGAGTAGTGGAGCAACGTAAGAAGATGCAGTCTCATGGGAGCCGGTGGCCAATAATTGGTTAATACACCATTTGTTGCTTCAGGATCCTGAAGCCCATGTGCAACATTGGTTTGGAACAAAGGTCTTCCAACTGGTCTAGGTGGATCTTCCAAATACATCAACCCGGTTAAAGCGCCGGACATTAGCTTTTCGTCCTCTCAATTCCGTAAACAATACCCCTGCCACAAGAAGGAAGTGAGTAGGATTTCCATGGTAGTGGCTGTACACGCGTGGCCATCTGAGACTATTTAGAGAAGGAGAGCTAACTCTCTTCACCGTCGACCGTACCAATGACAAATAATAATAACGATATTCAGATGAATGGCTTATAAGCGTGTGTTTTTTTTGACAAGACTAGATGTAGTCATTTTTGTCAACAAACACAAATGATTTGAAAAATAGAAAATAAGAAAATATCACATAGTTGTCTCATCCACTCTAAGGAAATGAAATGAGAATAACTTACAATTTATGTTTTGGAATGAATCCAATCCAATTCGTTGATTCCGCAGAATCCACCATCCATAATAAAGACAATAAACTACCAATTAATATAAATAAACATAATTTCCTCCAACTAACTTTATTCGATTGATTAATACCAATATATATATTTAGATATTCAAACAACAACCGCCAATACATACGTAAACAAATGATTAACATGAAACAAGCAAACGTTACACGTATCCAACCAGTTGGATGAAATTCATAAATAGGATTTAATTTATTCAAAGATTTACTAATCCATGGATCAAGTATAGATCGACATATAGAACTATAGTTTAATTCTTCACGACAAATTAGAAAATGTCTAATCAATAAACGAAATAATAACAATATACCTGGATAAAGTATCATCATAAATGGAAGACAAGGAAAAGACCATAATCTTCGTAAAAATTTAAAGTTATACCATGTCATAATATCAGTATGATCCATGATATGAATGAATGAACAAATTAGAAATAGAACAATTAAACTTTGAATGAAATAGAAAGTGATATGAAATTCATAGATAATCATACTATTTGATAAATAACTTAAAGACAATAAGAATAGTAACAAAAAACCGATAGAGTTACCATTGAATATCAACTTTGAAAACTTATAATGTTTAATGATAACATATAAGACTAGGATGAATAATAAAAGATTTAAGTAGTATATATTGATACATGAAAAAAACGATAAAATACATGTAAACAATAAGAAACTATTATGGATATGTATCATTGAAGTATTGGAAATCTTTTCAATCAATAATAAAAGAGTAATCAAACTGTAACATGTTAAAAGGATACCAAAGAATATCAATGAATCATTGAATTGAGTCCAATGTATACGAAATATGAATTGTAATTCTTTAAGTATATTTATTAATTGTATATCATTGAACTGTTCTATCCAATCATAAGTTGAATTGAATATAATACGATTCATATAAGACATAAGTATAGGAGATAATGGTAATTTGCTTATATTATAAAAATAATTTGCAGTATAAGTGAACATCTGTAAAGGAGAGTTAGTGAAAAATAAATGAAATGGTAAAACATTATATACAGGTGCTATGTTTGGAAGCGATTACGAGTTCACCTAGTCTGAGAATGGAACAAAGACTATGACCAAAGACCAATAAGCTAGATATTCTGATGCATTCTAGCCCCGTTAACTAAAGAGAATAGTTGTTAGCGGGACATAGATTGGAATAAAGCATGCTTAATGCACGATTGCGTTGGCGCACGCTGATTGGATAAGTATTAGCCAATCAGCGCTAGTCGATACTTGGGGAACACTCTAGAATTTTTTCATGTAAAAACTATAAATATACTGACGTTTTTCCTATTATGCTTCTTACTTTCATCTAATCTTGTTATTTGGGACATAATCTCTTTTCCTGTTCAATCGTGTTCTGATTTGAAGACTTGTCGAATAAACTGGTCACCGAGACTACGGAACAATGGGAATAGCTAGGTTGTAATAAGAGAGAATTATAACAGTAGTCGAAATTCGAATAGAGAAATATATTTCGCAAGCAGCCAGAACCACAAGAGATCCCGACTCGTCTAGTCGAAAATACACTCATTTATGTATTGGTTTGTACAACCAATAATCAGAATAAATCACATACATGAAAATACTTCATACAAGAATAAAATGTCATAGGGGGAATTGAAACAAATACTGTACTGAGTGATCGCCAAATTGAATTAAACAGAATTAATGTTGGACCAAAAATCAGAAAGAATAAATCAATTTAATTTTGACCTTTCACACTGTCATAACAACAGGCCAATATATTAAAAGTGTAATAAAAATAATAAATCAATTACATTAAGACTATGGAAATTATGCGCCCCCGAATGCCCTGATACGGCCGACAGTGGAGAGTCAGCTCTCCCTCTCGAACTGCTTACACATGGCCACGTACATACAACCACTGCCAGAGAAGTCCTACTTACTGCCCTCTCGTGTCTGGGGTGCTTTTTACGAAATTGAGAGGACAAAAGCCGTATATCCGGTGCTTTGACCGCGTTCATGTATATGAAGGATCGATCTAGACAAGTTGGAAAACCTTGATTTCAAACCAATGGTGACCATGAGGAATAACAATATCAAAACAGAAAAGAATATGGGGTCCAGGATCCTGAAGGAACAAGTGGCGTATGAACCAATCGTTGGTGACCGGCTATCATGGGACTGCATCTCCTGACGCTGCTCCACTGCCTTGTGGATCAGACCTTCAGGTCAAAGGCTCGGGGTGTAGCCCCCTAAGAAAACCACCTGCTTCAGTTTGGGAACCCGGGCAGTATCCTAGCCCCGGCACAAATCAAATGATTTATGTGTCGCATATATTTGGTGCCACCTCGTACCAATGTTTATGTGTTTGAATAGTGATAATAATGGTCTAATGGCTTCAAAATTTCAGCTAATATACAGAATTGCATTAATCAGTATCGTTTTCATTCTTGTCATACAAAAGACTAGTTTATTGGGATACAAAATATGTATCACATAAAGTAAAGTAAGTCTGTACTTAGTTATTTGCCAATATACAATGTCGTTACAGTTTTACTCTCCAAAGGTCTGACCGATTTTGATCGAATAAACAATCTTACTTTAACATCTGCTAGAGGGACCAACAAAATACATACAATAATAATATAATGACATTTAATTAATAAAATCATTAGCAGTAAATCATGGATACAAATTTACCTGTATAAAATTTAATACCATACCCTGGTGAAGGTTAGCACCATATCCTAGCAGATGGTCATATAGTATGCCCAAATTCGAATAGGGTATTGGAACATTAGTTAGAAGTGATAAAGTTGGGACAAGATCTATTTGATGTAATCGTCTATTAGTTTGGTTCTCTGAATCATCTTTTATCACAAGAGAACTCTGATTAGCAGTAAAAACAATGAAAGCAGCTTCCAGTTCTGCATCACTATCTCCACCATGATCACCTGATCGTGTCATTCCATGGTCACCCAAAATAAATAGAATATCGGAAGATTGAAGTTTAGAAACAATAAGTCTAGAAAGAAATGCATACAGGTAGAGGAACAAACCCAGACAACGATGCAGTATATATAAATATGGATGCGAATCGGTGAAAACATCTAAAAATAATTCTGAAAGTCAACGTGATCTTAAAGAAATGTTACAAATTTGGATGGTTTGTAAAGTAGCCTCACCTCACTTCGAGTTGGTCTTAAATAGCTTCACACGAAGAGTTAGTGTAGACACAGATTAGTCCCAGTCTAGTAGAAGTATTTTTGCAATTCGATGATGCAAAGCACGTATATGGCATAATCATGGACGCTGGTCGTCCAATTGGTTAAGTGTGATTTAGGTAAACTTTATCTGATTGTACATTAAGACGACATAGCTTGCACAATTAAGACTGAAAAGTTATTCCCACGTAACAGGCTCCAAGTCTATACATTACCACTACGTACATTCTTCAGAATTGTATCGATGGGTGAAATTCAAAGATAAACGGTGAGACGGAGTAACTCTATTTAGTCTCATTAATGAGTTGGAACAATGTACAGAGTTAGCCATATGCACTCATTTTGTATGTGGTGATTTTGTGTAGAGCTTCCAATATGTTAATAGACTTTTCAGGTGCATTTAGAGAATAGTAATATTCAGAGAATCGAGTGCAACCACAATGTCAAGAAACAAACCGACTGTAGGTTTGTGATAATGTTCAAGGATTTGTCGGAAGGTAGAGTCAAAGGACTAATACATTCAAAATCTCGATGAACACGGGTCAAATTCTCAAGCGTCGGACATTCGCTTTTCGTTCTCTCAATTTCGTAAACAACAGCCCCGTCATGAGAAGGCCTTCCAGGTTATAGATATACACAGCCATTAACACATTCTCTTCCGAGCTGTTTCTAGAATGCCATCAGTTGGAAACATGAAGAATAATAAGTTTGAGCAGATCTGTCTAAACTCAATACTGGGTTCGAACAATGGAGAGAGGTGATTGTATGCCCTCATTCTTCTTGAGGTATTTGTGTAAAAATCCTTCCAGATATTAATTATCCTTGCATGAAAACCCATGATAGCATAATCCCATCCAACGACATGAAGGTGACCTCGACATTAAGGAACACAATGACCATTGTTCTGCGATAGGTGGAGGGTGTTTTAGAGTTTGGCTGAAGATGAAGCACTAGAGAGAAAACTTATAACCTCGATATTTCTCACACAGGCCAACCCACTAAGGTGGAAGTTATAAAGAAACATCGTTTCCTATGCCAGTTTCTCCTCACTTTGATAGGACCCTCCGTATCACCTAACAGCATACAAACGAATGCTAATGGAGATCCATTCCACTAGTAATGCCTTTGCTCTGAAGTTCAGTGCGACACCAACCCCAGTAAAGTATGCAAACCTACACATGATAAATGAGTTACACTATATTAAACGACAATTATTAACCCATGAAAATATATGATGATAATAAAAATTTCGACTGACTTTATAAAACTGTTTAGTTCATTTAGCTTTCGCGTCATCTCTGGATGTGCAGGTCCATATGTGTGACCACAGTGATCTATCCCCAGCATATGTCCAATAAGAATATCCCAGTCAGTCTGTGGTGTTTGACTGTCAACAACTCCATTATCCCAATCCCATGCAGTACCGTTAAGGGCATAGAGAAAGTAGTTTTCAACACCTCGGTCAACTGTATCCAAATCCTTCACATTGAACGATGAATAAGCTTTATAATGACTGAAACTGTGTGTTGAAACAGAAAATTAAGAGAATACACTGACGAGAATATATATGCACAAGAAAAGCAATGTATATATCAACAGTGAGTCACGAAAATAGCATAATCTACATGTATTCACAAGTAGGTTAGTAATAAGTCAATGTTACGAATATGTAATGATATTGTACTGAAGGTAAACATGCTTTAACCACTCTATGTCAAGTATTTTTTTATTATAATTAATAGAATAGACAACTGGAAATAGTTGAATAATTATATCATATCATACTATTGATCTAACATAAGTGCAGTCAGTCCGGCAGTCGGCTACGAAGTAGGACCAGGCACACATGTGCATCGGTTCAAGTTCCCATACTTCATTAGCACAGCAAGATGACAACCGGATTTATAGAAGTAGTTAATCCAATGGTGGTAATATATAAAAGATTGCATAAAAGGATATAGTACAGGAAGAAAGAATTAGTTCATAGAAAGAAAGATATGAAGCAAAACATAAGTGCCCACTCAAAATGCCACAAACCTCTCATGAAAATCACAAAACGATCAAAAACTATCACTATAACATGCGAATCCTCCAAATGCAACTACGTAGAAGCTTTTACCTATTTTCCATGAGACATGAGATAATAGATCTTATCTCTGTAAATACACATGGAAGGATGAAACAATATAGCAAAGCAATCAATTTTTAAAAATAACCCCAGCTAGTCAGCTCCTAAAAAAACGCTTTGGATCATAGTGCAGTGAACGATAATACAAGTGGGGACAATCGAATGTATTTGAACACAAAATTGCAGAACATCTTAGTAAGATCTGAGAACCATACAGTAAAATACCTAATTTGCAAAATGTCGATCAAACTTGACTGTTCCTTTTGCAAATATCAGTCAATCGTCTTAGACTTCATTGTTTCTGCATTTCCATACTAACTGCTTTCTGTTCCCGTTCTTTCTTCCTCGATCTTCTTGACCTTCCGTTGCCAGACATTCTATTCCCGACTAGCGTTATACACTACTTATAAGTAGAACACACCACAATATTATCATCAACGAACTACATACGCCACTGAAGTGACGTAAGTAAAGCATACAACAAAATTATTTCGATAACTCGTGGGACCTAGCTGTCCTCAGATTAAATAACGGGAAATATCATTAAGAGTTTGGCTTAGAAAATAGCAAGAATTTTGTTGCCACCAAACTAATGCAGTCATTGAAAGTGAACTAGAGGGTATAGCTAAAACACCAAAACAAATACATCGGAATCTGAAAACCTTTAAGCTGAATATAAACTAAACAAACGGCTTGAATAATAATCGATTTGACTTACAAGACTCAATAAAACAGTAAGAGAATGAAAATAAAATTTGCGGAAATTTCTGACAAATTTATTCTGAAGAACTCTGTGCTCAAAACTAAATCCCGGGACATCAAACTAAAATTACCACAATTGACCAACAAACAGTAAAATTCGATAGTCGAGCGAGAAACAGCACTTTATGCAAGTCACTGGTAGCGAGAGGTTTGGTATCGGTAAATAATATGCTCATGTGTTTAATCACCTTCAAAAATAATCTGTGAAATGTGGATGACAATCATTAATCTTCTATCTTGCGTCAAAAATGTTGGCTATTTTCCTACTAAACAAATTGGATGGAAAACCCGAAGAACTGACTCATGAGAAATTGACCTGTTTTCATCGAGATTTTGAATGTATTAGTCCTTTGACTCTACCTTCCGACAAATCCTTGAACATTATCACAAACCTACAGTCGGTTTGTTTCTTGACATTGTGGTTGCACTCGATTCTCTGAATATTACTATTCTCTAAATGCACCTGAAAAGTCTATTAACATATTGGAAGCTCTACACAAAATCACCACATACAAAATGAGTGCATATGGCTAACTCTGTACATTGTTCCAACTCATTAATGAGACTAAATAGAGTTACTCCGTCTCACCGTTTATCTTTGAATTTCACCCATCGATACAATTCTGAAGAATGTACGTAGTGGTAATGTATAGACTTGGAGCCTGTTACGTGGGAATAACTTTTCAGTCTTAATTGTGCAAGCTATGTCGTCTTAATGTACAATCAGATAAAGTTTACCTAAATCACACTTAACCAATTGGACGACCAGCGTCCATGATTATGCCATATACGTGCTTTGCATCATCGAATTGCAAAAATACTTCTACTAGACTGGGACTAATCTGTGTCTACACTAACTCTTCGTGTGAAGCTATTTAAGACCAACTCGAAGTGAGGTGAGGCTACTTTACAAACCATCCAAATTTGTAACATTTCTTTAAGATCACGTTGACTTTCAGAATTATTTTTAGATGTTTTCACCGATTCGCATCCATATTTATATATACTGCATCGTTGTCTGGGTTTGTTCCTCTACCTGTATGCATTTCTTTCTAGACTTATTGTTTCTAAACTTCAATCTTCCGATATTCTATTTATTTTGGGTGACCATGGAATGACACGATCAGGTGATCATGGTGGAGATAGTGATGCAGAACTGGAAGCTGCTTTCATTGTTTTTACTGCTAATCAGAGTTCTCTTGTGATAAAAGATGATTCAGAGAACCAAACTAATAGACGATTACATCAAATAGATCTTGTCCCAACTTTATCACTTCTAACTAATGTTCCAATACCCTATTCGAATTTGGGCATACTATATGACCATCTGCTAGGATATGGTGCTAACCTTCACCAGGGTATGGTATTAAATTTTATACAGGTAAATTTGTATCCATGATTTACTGCTAATGATTTTATTAATTAAATGTCATTATATTATTATTGTATGTATTTTGTTGGTCCCTCTAGCAGATGTTAAAGTAAGATTGTTTATTCGATCAAAATCGGTCAGACCTTTGGAGAGTAAAACTGTAACGACATTGTATATTGGCAAATAACTAAGTATAGAGTTACAGTGATGGTGATGGTGGTTCGGTAGATGAATGTAAAGCTCATTTTTATTGCTAATTATGAAATGTCGGCATGATAACTATCATACGTTTTATTAAGAACTTCTTCACGATAAAATAAACAAATATATGACATCAATCGACATACCTATCGGGAAATAGATCAATCCAAGTTTCATCGCCAACAAATCGAATTTGTTTTCCAGCCTTATTCCACTGTTTTAGTAAATTATCTTCCAGTACTTTACTTCCGCCAAAATTTGAACCTGCATCTATAAATGTTGGCATACTTCCTGTCATTAGAGCTTTTAAACGTTGTAACGTGGTTGTCGGCGGGTCTGCGACAAACTTCCCAATAAATACCGCTTTAGATAAACTATCAAGTAGTGGATGATATCGATTTTGGGAATGTGATGAAATATGACCAGGTAATAATTGGTTATTTTCATTATTGTCTTGTATAAGTGCATAACCCAATGCATCAACAAGTAAAAGGATAATTCGACCATTTCTAGCAACAGTTGAAGGATAATTCAATGATAATTTCAATTTTTCATTTGTCTCATTGTAGAGCTCAGTTCGATTCAATAAAAAACCATGTAGAAATAGACTGATACCAAGAAAGGCAATAACGATTGATGATAACTTGGACAAAATTGATATCTCGTAGTCACAATGTTTATTGATGTACTTAATGAGACTTTTACTGCATTTTTTTATTATATAGTCCATTTCTTGAAATCAATATAGCTAGTGAACAGAAGGAGACAGTAATGATTATATCTTTTGATAACGTAAGAGTAAGGGAAGTAAAAGCTTATAAATTGATTTGAATAGCTTTTATAAATTAATGGATAGATGGAATTTAGAATTCATATTATGTTCGGTTAAAAGAGAATAAGAAAGAGTTAAGAAATTACATTTACACAAGACAAAAAGTTTAGGCAATTTATCTTAACATCTGTGATATTGATTATCAAAGTCCCCACATTTCTTTAGACGTAATCATCCGCTCCTTTTCATCTTTTTGTGTAAATAAGAGCTCAGTAGCACTAACCTTATATAATAAATTCTGCTTCAAGTGAACCAATAAATAAACCTTGACTATCATCTTAACTAACGAGTAACCACTTCACCTTTTATAAACATATTTGATGAATACTGAGGGAATAAACATAAATCAAGAGTATCCTATCACATGGGACGGACGGTTTTGGAATTTACTAAAGTATTCACAATAATCAAATGCTGTCTGTTTAGCTGTATTTTTCGTCTCAACAAAAATCAGTTCCTCTACGTTGGACCTATCAATTGTAATAGGTGTTAAGAACTAACAACAATAGGAAGTAATACTAAGTATGTTCAAATCGAATCTATTGTAGAAGTAAATACAAATTAAAAACGTTGGAATAAATTACCTGCAAATGAACTTCGACTACCAACATCTGGCGCATAAGCTTTTTCGATCAAATGAACACCAACGCAAAAATCACCTGGGACAATTATTTGAAGATGAAATGAATAAATAAGTTGAGGACAACAGAAGTGGGTATGACTTCAAACGCATACACCAAGATTTTACAGAAGTGACATTTAGAGAGAAGATACTATTTCTACTAATTCTCCAGGGTAGTTTTCGCTATGAAAAAACTCGTGTCGAGATTATTTTGATTGTAAACGTAAATTATGCAATTAATATTGAGTGATAGGGATAAAAGCCCATGATACGAAGCTTTAAGTTATGTTAGTGTTGTTAAGAAGTTTTAGCACAGGATGAAATAGTTTTTTAACACATATTGATGTTCGGTTAATCAAAATATGAAAACATCTGACTGATAATCAAAGGATGGCTGGGGTTCAGGAACATGAGTAACTGATTGATGAAAACAGGGAAATCCATGAAAGTTAATGATAGGTCAGAGGTGATATGATATCAAATTCGATTGATCTTTTCAATTAATACTAGTGTTTTAGTATTTATTAATTCCGACTAAACTTTATTGACTTTCAGCGAATTTTCTTACTTACTAGCTTACGCCTGTTACTCACACTGGAGCATAAGTCACGTTTACCACCTACCGCAAATTATATTATTACTTCTTATACTTTCCTACTGACCACTTTAATCTCTCGATTTGTCGATAGGCGTTGGGGTATCTTTAAAAGACACACTAGTCGCAGGTCCTACATCGTTTATGAATGGCTGTAAAATGATAATTTTGGTAATTCGAAGATGTTAAGTAATAAGGTCAAATCCCAACAAAAAGCTCACAAATAACGTTTCAACAGGATATAAGGAGCGAATGGAAAGCCCCTAAATGCCCTGGTACGGCTGAGTGCTCTCAAGTGACCACGTGCATACAACTACTACCAGGGAAGTCCTACTCACTACCTTGCACCACGGGTGTTGTATACGAAGTTGAGAGGAAGAAACGCGAATGTTCAGCGCTTTAACCGAGTTATTGGACACGGAGAGCCTACCTAGGGGAGTTGGGAAACCCTGATTCTTAACCAATGGTGCACATGGGCTGGCTCCAGGATCCTGAAAGAACAAATGCCATATGAACCAACTGTTGATCACCAGCTATCATGAGACTGCATCTCCTGACGTTGCTATACTGTCTTGTGGATCAGACCTTTAAGTCGAAGGCTCTGAGTGTGGCCCTATAAGAAAACCATCTGCTTCGATTTGGGCACCCGGACAGTACCCCAGCCCTTACATAAATCTAATGATATATGTGGCGCATTTATACTTGGTGTATCCTTGTACTAATATTTATGTGTATGAATAAATAATACATAATAATGAGACGAGAAAGGAGTGCGGTAATAGACAAGGATTACGTGCCAAAGTATCGCAGGTAAAAAGATAATTTATGAACTTAATTCACTCCAACGTCCTTTAAGTAGCTGTCTTGGTATGAAGTGAGATCAAGGAATATACACTTAATAAATATCTTAATCTCAGTTGATTATTTAACCTATTACATAAAACAGAAATGCATCTGCTAGATGGCGTTTAAAACCAAGTATCTGAAGATAACGTCACCAAACTATGTAGATGTGAATGAAAAAAGATGGCTATCACAAAAGAACAGGTCTTTAGACTTTGCCATACCTACCTCAGTTTGAGCAGACAAATTGTTAAAAGATACAAGTTCAGTAGGTGAAACGATATCCAGTCAAAACTGCATAACCTATAAGATGGAAAAAAGTGGCCAGCATGAGCAAAATATCACTAATGAGCACGCATTCATAAAAGTAATCTCTAATTTAATAGGATAATTTTACTTTTGTTTGGAGGATCGAAAACATTCTATAAACTGAACTTATATTGTCTTCCTTGGTCCACTAAATCACTTTTGGTTAATAAAGATTAGGACCTAGACACTAGTAGGTGTCAATAACTTGATTAGTAGAAACCCTGCTATACATAAAGAAGGCTGCGCAAAGAATGTTGGCCGACCTTAGTATGCTCATTAAGAAATCCTCAAGTCATAAAAAGGCGTTTGGTCAAGTGCAACTGTGTAGAATTCAATAAGTCACATGCATATTTCTGCGAACCACGTCTAAGCAAGACTGTTAATGTATTCATATTTGTCTATGGTTGAAATGTGACCTTGACAGTAGTAGTTACTTTATCAATCACAAAACTGAATGGCTGACTAAAGGATGAGATATCTAACAAGAAAGGATGGTCAAATATTATGGCCAATATGCTAATTCAGATAGAAAAGTCTGATAAATATCCGTGACAAACGGATCAAAAACAGAATCCAGACACAAGTTTCTGCCAGTCTCCCAGTACTTTGTATTCAGGTGTAGAGTACGTGCCGTACTCTCAGACATATTACCGAATGGTTAGGTCCCATTTGGATACTCCGTATAATCGACCAGTAAGACAATATTATCAGCCTACTCAATGTTAAAAGTCGCCTAACACGTAACAGACATACACAGCCACCAACGCACTTGTAGCGGTAAAAAATCCCCAAAATAAATAGCCCTGTAAGTTTCCGACATTGGATGCTGACCATATGTTTTAGTGGACTCATCTAGCTGAAGGCGCTCGGTCAGGCATCCGCACCAGATCACGTGTGGTAACGCCGTGCTCAACATCAACCGCAATCGCTAGCCAGATTAGATCAGAGAATTCCGATATTTTGGTTATCGCCAAATACACTCTTCCAATCTCCTCGACTCTGTCTTTTGATTTCTCTGGGTGGTTACGAATTATATTAGAAGGTGTTACTGGTAGAAGCGTTGTCAAACACGGAATACCTGTGTCATCTTCACACTGTCTTCAGAACTGTCTCTAGAATGCCATCAGCTGAAAGGATGAAGCATAGTAAGATTGGGCAGATCTGTCTATACTCATTGTTGGGTTGGAACAATGGAGAGAGGTGATTTGAGCTCTCACTCTACTTGTGGTATTTGTGTAAAATTCCTTCCAGATGTTAATTATCTTTGCATGTAGACCCATATTATCACGATCCTTTCCAACGAATTGAAGGTGGTCCCGACACTAAGGAACACAATGACTCTCGTCCTGGGATAGGTGGTGGTGTTCTAACATTTGGAAGAGAGGAAGGTATGATCAAAGTTTTCACTTAATCAAAAACTGGCTTCCGTTTTTTGATCATTCTTTTATGGGCTTTGCACAATATATGAAGTATGACGTGAGCTAACAGCTTGGACGCAATCGAAATTAGACTTACTCTATTATAGTTGTTAAATGGATGACACAGGTTTTTTCCAAGGATGAGGACGATGACCACTTTACTCCAGGTTGTTGGGGAGTTCTGTTAACCATACTTTTGCAAATAGCCCAGTCAGCTTAATGGCCTGAAGTCTCGCATCGTCTCTGAGGAAAGGCAGAGCTAAGTAGCTGAGGCCTGGTGACTTAAGGCGTCCTAATATTTAGGGTCTTCTACAGTCCGTCGCCTAGTTAGATGAGTCAGTAGTCACTGGCCAGAGTGGCTGAACAGCTGATAGACGTTGCTGAAGCCACAGATCATACAAGTGACTCGTGTGGCGTGTATGTATTCGGTAGGCCTTTGTACCGATATTTGTGTTTAAATTTAATAATAATAAGTGACAGACCGGACGAACTGTTCCGTAAGGAACTCTGAATATCGTCAAAGATATCATCTTAATTACACATAAGACAACGAGAGCAATCGACGACTATAAACAATGGTAAGTGTAGTAAGTTAAATTTTACGTGAGTAACCAGTATCCAGTTAGTAAGTGAAACAAGAAACAGTAAGCCTGAATGTGAACAGACAAGGCAGGAAGGAAAACTAGTGTGAGCCAATCATCTCATGTCGCTTATGTCCTAAACTCACGTATGCCCCCTAAATGATCAAGTTTTCTTGGTAGGTTTGCACCTAGCCCGAATATATGTTGTTTCTTGGACGTATGTGCGCAGCAGCGCCTGGTGAAATCCAGAAAAAAGGGAATTGCGCCAACAAGTGAATACGTATATGATGATCATATTACTTACTATACAACCATTTATGTGGGATCATAGACAAGCGTAAGAAGAAGAGTGGAAATGGAGATGTCAGTAAACTAGACAGGAAGTGTAGTAACGACAACAATAGGTAGGTTACGAGATATGCATTAAGCACAGCTAGTTCAAGCACGAGATGACGACACTAAGTGTTTATCAAGTCACTTCTTGAAGCTACTTCCAGAGGGGGTGACGGTCACTTTTGTTAGGAAAATACTACGAATGGTGACAACTCTTATTGAGAGATTAAGGGGGTATACCTGGGTTTTCGGTCTTTGATGTGTAATTTTGTTGAAGGTTGCTTCGAAGAGTGTAGTGGTGATTCTTCTGCAGGATGTTCGTATTGTAGTGAATCGGTGTACTTAGTACATTGTATGCCATTATTAGATCACCTCTTATTTCCATACAGCTCGGGGTTAAGAATGATGAGTGTCGGAGTCTGTCTTCGTGAAATGTACTTCTTAGCCCAATCACCCACTTAGTTGTTCACCTCTGCACTTGGTATAACAGATTTATATCTTTTTTTGAAGAAGAGATTCTTAATAACACTGTATTTTGAGGCGAAACATGAGTATGTTCTAAAGTCTCAGGAACAATTATGAAATTGTCTTCGGATAATTCAGAAAGTGGCTTTCGACTACATTTTTTATTAAGTTTGAGATAGTGTCGAAGTTCTGTGTGGTTATGTGTTTATTAGAAGTTGTTGAATTCGACTTCCTTACTAGGAATTCCTAAAACCGTCTAATTGGTACTCCACTAATCACGTCTTTAAGTGAAAGAGAGCTCTGAGGGGATGGCCAGGCAAGTTGTATTTAGAACTTATGATGAGTGCAGAAATCATTTTTGTATACAAAAATCAAAGGTCGTCAGTTTTAGACTGCGCTTTGAGGCAACAAATGGGGACGGATTGTCACAGTTACCTGGGTCTCATTGGGCTGAATGTTCATAATATGACAATTCGACAGGATAGGTTTTGATGCAGTCTACTTACCATTCTCCGTAGTTGTAAAGTCATTTAAATGCTCAAGTGGATCTCCAGGTTTCTTCAATGCATTTTACGTGCCGGTAGGTAACCCTCATGCTATTCTCTCGCTTAGCAAGCGACTTATCCATCCATTACTTTTGATATAATTGGGAGTGACGTGACTGGTCTGTATCAAGGTGGGTCTTTCCTATCCCCTCGGTTGAAGATTAGAGACGCAGTATCCTGTTTTCATCCCTTTGGAAGTTCCTGGAAATAGCATTTTATGATATATACTAACAAATAAAGTATCCTGATTTATAGTCGGATTCGTGTATTGGGGATAAGAGACCTGTGGCCAGTGTCAGTCGTTTTCTCGTTAGCTTCTGTGTGTCTAGTCTTCTGAATGAGTGTGGACCATACTTCTTCAAATAATAGGTTCTAAGAATTGATGACTCGGCATAGAAACCTGTATGTCACATGTATTTTACTCGCTCTCGACTTATGAGTTCGTCTGCTATTTCCTCTCCGTTACTCTGATCTGGTAGAAAGGAAAAATGTATATATCAGATCCAAAATCTCTTACTAGTGTTTCACGCATCAAATCAGGTCAGCTGTAAATCTGCGGTAGGACAGAGTAGAGTTCTAGCTTCTCAAACAGCTCTGTGCAAGATAAACCACGGAGATCTGGAAATGCACAAATAGCTCCCATCTGTATATTTTCCAAGATATCCAAGTCACCTATAGATAGGGACTTGCATACCGAACGCAGTTTTTAAGTTTTGTATCTCATCATTGTTCTGTATACTGTGGTGAACACTTTGATATCTGACTTGGTTAGTATCCTGCTTAAAGCCCGTATAGTTCTGAACTCCTTCCCTGCGACCACGTGGCAGTAGCTCGTGGTCTTAAGGTCACATCTCACTGTATTCAAAGATCCTCCACCACAATTTCAAACTACTATTTTTTTGATGCTTAGAAGAACAAATCAGCTCCTCGTAGATTAACTGATAGCAAAGAAATGCGCCAAATATTGATCAGATGACAACAGACTTACCGTTAACACTTCAAAGTGTCAAGTAATCCATCTGAGACATTTTTCAGACTACGATACAACTTAGGTAACTCCCCTCAAGAGATATTCCAAGTTGAAAAAGATCTAGGGGTGTTGGTGCCCTACGACATAAACGCCTTCCGAGCAAACCTTGTACTGATAACACTGAAGCGCATTTTCGGCCAGTTCGACGTAAGAACTTTCCACATAATCTTCAACAGTTTTATTCGTCCTCATTTAGAGTGCGGAAACATAGTACATCCTCCCGCACTCTAAAAGGATAAGGACACTCTGAACTGCATCCAGCGATGGAATCAGTTCTATGACTCAAATTCAAGTCTTATGAAGAGCGCCTTCAATCACTGAACCTTTACCTATTAGAGTAGAGGCGTCTGGGAGGTGACCTAATAACTTAAGGCATACTTAATACTTCCTTACATCCCCTTAAACACCTATTTAAGCTCAGTCTCAACGCAAACCTTAGAATTAACATCCAGAAAGTGGAAACAATACAACAGAACAGACTATAGACACACCTAATACTGCTTAAGAGTAGTCAAATGTTGGAATTCGCTGCCGTATGAGATGGTCCAAGCGACTTTTCAGGAATCCTTCAAGAGAGAATTTGACGTATTCTTCAAAATTATATACGAAATTTTACTATGATTTATCAACTTTTTTCTTTTCTCTCTTTTGTCGTTAATATACCTAGGTTCTTACCTGGAGGCATCAATGATCCACTGCTACTAGATATAGAATCACATTAAGCGAAAACCTCTTTTATTGTGTTCAGAACCATTTGAACAATTCAGACTATGGTGCCGTATTTGAGTGTGACAGGGGTGGTCATTGGAACGGAACAGCGGGCGGCCCTGAGTGACCTTCACCGACCTTGGTGTGAACTGTGGCCCTTGTGTGAGCAATTTTTAGTTTTAAAATTGTTGGCCAGCACGTGTTTATGGTAGATGGATTTTTATCGAGCTAAAAGTCTTTTTGTATCTCGTCAGAGGTTTACTTCAAGTTTAACTCCAGCCATATGAAGTCAACCCCCACATTTCGAATTATTCTTAGGAGTAAAAGAAAAAAGGTCTTGTGAGGTAGGAGTTAAGTTAGTGTTGTGAGTTCAGATAGTCGACCCATGGAGTTTTCGTCATCAACGATAGTTGCCAGTGTTTAACACTAGCAACAAGGTAAATTTGTCTTAAGTAATCAAGCTGTCATCGTAATTCTGATTGTCTAACCCAAGCTCCTCAGTATGATATACTTTCATCAAGTAGTCATACAACATCCAGTTGGCTCTAGGCTTTTAAGTTTTGTTTTGCTATTTCTTCGCAAGTCTTCTGTTCTAGACTGTTAGAAATGGGGACATATCAGATACCCAATTATGGTTAGGTTGGTGGTGAGACTACAATTTATGGACGACCTTTAAGCAACACTAAGATAACCATGGAGTCCCCACCTACTTGCTAGTGAGGGTTATAGATTAGTGTGAGGAATTAGGATTTACAGTTGAACGTTGGAGTTAGGAATTAGATCTAATATTTTCATCATGAACTGATATCAGCTATGATACCAGAATGATATTTAGACGAATGAGTGAATAAATTTCGCACTAAGATTCAAGATTATCTTAGATATGAATGGTTCGTTCATAAATTATAATCTCTCACACGTCTTTGATTTTGTCGCAAAATTCATTTATCCTTATGTCTAAACAGCATTTTGGACTGATAAATGATATCAGTTCGTGATGAAAAACCATAAATCCAATTCCTAACCGTAACTTCCAACCTTAGATCTTAATCTCAGTTCCTCATACTAATATATATCAAGTAGGATATTCTCAGGGTTACTTTAGCATCGCTCAAAGGTCGTCCATAAATGATAGTCCCACCTGTAACTATTCATTAATGTAAATGAGAAAGATCAAGTTTACATATTGTTAGGTGGGCTATTACTATGAGCCATGGTTGTAACCTTATGGGGTTTTCGTCACCAACTGATATCAGCTATAATGCAATCATGCTTTATCACCCTTTTGTTTACAAGATTAAAAACCTTAAGGTTTAGAGTTAGTGTGGAAAAATACTATCTGGCTACACAGGCTCTTGAATATACACTTGCGTACATCAGGTTCTTTTTTGTTCCTCCAATTAAGTTTTTTTGAAGCATAAATAATCTGTAAAACTATCCTTATGCAATAATAGGGTAACGCAACCCCTGTTTATCCTCCGATTTAATTATGAAACCAGGCATTTTGAATATTCTCTAGCATCCGAAGCAGACTTTGTTTCATATCCCCTTCTGGACTTGTGTAGAGTCAGGACTTAAAGGTTCCTTGCTCTTCGATATTGAGATTTAGTTTCGTCAGTACAGCATTGATCTAAATTTCTCCCATATTCTTTTACGAAGAACAGTACAAACATTCTTTCCTAATAGTAGTGGGTTTCCTTGATTTTCTTGGAGTTATTTCAGGTACGCACTATTTGATGCCTCCAGTGTATAAATCCCTAAAAACTGTAAAGCCGTGTGTATGGTAAGTTCCTGTTTAGTAGGCCAATCTACCAAAGACGCTGCATGTATATTTGACAGAATATCTAATTTCCACACATTTAATCTGATCAGGGCAGAAGAATAGATGCTAGCATCAGTCCAAAGAGTGAAGAATAACATTGCATGATTACTTACTAAGCGATGGGGTGTTATCAAGGTTGATAACAATTTCCTCATTCTAGTTCTTATACATTGTTAATTGTTGTCTAACGCCTTCACTATTGAATGTAAATGAATTCAATGTTACCTGCGAGTTTCTGGTTCACGTTTCTTAACTTTTTATGTCCTAGATTCTTACGTCTTTCACTAAAAAAACTCGTGGCTAGTCATAAGCCTACCGACAACTCGCTATTGCAACTTAAGTGAGCTCGTTGGGGTCTAGTCGATATCGGTTCCTTTCTGTTTTTCGACTTTTAGACTGCAGTTTTAGTCAGAAATACTGTCTCCTTCAGTTACTGACTGGATATCCATTATTGTCACCTGATGTCTTGAAGGAATCAATTATTCATCTCGAGATGATAGTAGTCCCACCAATTTTCGTAATTGTGATGTTTTTTAAAATGAGTTTAAATTCCTTGTCTAGGTTATATTATACTCCGAAGAATTATTGCCAGTAGTTCCGATGTAAATTTCTTCACAAAATGGAAATAACTCTTCCTGAACTTAATCATAACTGCTTCAGTACTCTGGATCATTCTTCTGATAACTCGGAAAGCTCTGGATCACTAAATTATAGTTTTGCACTGATCGATTGTAAAAATTCCAAAAATGAGCAGTTGTATGGTGCCATTTCTGTCAGAAATTGGATTAACTCTGGGGTATATTTCACGTAGTTTCTTACACGTTATCCTTCTTTAGAACAATGATTACTTAGAAGAAAACTTGGGTGATCTGCGAAAGTGTTTGATGCAGAAAATTTTGGAGCTGAACTGTCATTCTACAAGTCATATACCAAATCCAGCAGTTACAAAGTTGTATGAGTCTTTGGTGTGCTTGTACTTTAAGACCCCAAAACTTTGGTCACATCCATTAAGATGGATTATAGAAGTATTAATACACGGTAATTGTTTTTATTTCGAATATCCATGTGGTTTTTGACGATCATTTAAATTCCACTTGATTATATGTGGTTGTGTTTGCCTCAGTTAAGTTTGCGCTTCTCATGGGAAAACTCGCCTATTTGGGGTAAAGATAACGGGATCCTTTCCATTGTACACGTAGCAGTCTCATCATGAAAGGTAATTTAATAAGTCCTCTGTTTACTGGTTAGTACTGCCTGGGATCAAGATTAGTCCAAATAGTTCTGATTATATTTATTAAGAAATTAAGACTGATTTCAACCTGAAAATATGTAATTAAGAATCATACTCGGTGCCATTACTGGGGACAACATTGGCGGTTCGATTTTCATAAAAACAATTTTTAAAGCCTCCCGTCCTTCATAATCTTCAAGTACATTATTTTATAGATGAAAAAAGCTATTCACTTTTGCCAGGATATTCAATTAAAAAGAATGTCTTGTTTGTTTAATTATTATATTTATTTAAGAACGTAAACACTGTTACAAAAAGCCAACAAAATATACATGTGTCACTAAAAAATTAGATTTATGTGTGCGCTGGCATACTGCCTAGGTGTCCAAACCAAAGAAGGTGGTTTTCCTAGCGATCCACTCTCCGATCCTTTGACCCAGATATATAATCTATAATGTAATGGAGAAACGTTGGGAGATGCGGTCTCATGGCAGCCAGTGAACAAGAATAGGTTCATACTTTATTTGTCCCCTCAGGATCATAGAGTCCATGTGCATCATTACTTTAGGACTATGGTTACCCAACTCTAGGTGGATCCTCCGTACCTACCAACCCGGTTGTGTCGAATATTCACCTTCTGTTCTATGATTTTCGTAAACAACATCGACGAAAAGGTGGAGTAGGACTTGCCAGGACATCCCTGTCAGTGAATATATACGCATAGCCATACAAAAGCATATCACCTCAAGATGAGGACAAATACTCGTATAAATTAATTTGTAATCGTTCAGGTTATCTCGTTATTTTTCGACTGAATTTTGCTTGGCATCCTGTGCGGATTACCTCAACATAGACGTTATAGCATAAATTTACATACAATAGATGGAATATGGCTAGCAGTGTAATCTAAGATGAGCGTTTCGCCCTGTTTGCGTCTCATCAGTCAAGTGTACCTCCATTCCCAAGTTAGTGTTCACTCTGGGGTTCGAACCTAGCACCTTTCGCTCGAGGATACAGGTATATCTGGTCGGTGCTTCTTAAATAGGATGAAACGCGCGTTCTGGATCCCACTGATAGTCACGTTTCGTATATTCTACTCCCATACATTGTTGTCTTTTCTGATTGTTAAGCACGTCATAGTTAGTGCTTTTCCATTTTCCAAATTAATTTAGCTGACTCTGTTTATGCCAGTACTTCTAACCTGTCAATCTCAGATGAAGAAATACAACACTGTTTGACTAATTCTACATTTTCGAAACAAATCAAAGGAAACGTATTACATCTTCTATCATTAATTAGTGAGGAATTTACAACAGCCCAGTTAACTCATAGTGTTAAATGTATTGTCAAAGAAAGTATTCTTTCTGATGAAATTTTAGTCAGAAATATTCTCAAGGTATGGAAATCTTGAGTCATTAAATTATTTTTTAAAGGTATTTTTTCTAACGATTGGAAGGTCAGTAAGTGAGTAGTGCACCACTTTCATCTGCTTGTTTACTGTTCAGCAAGCAAAACCATCCAGTCATTAGATTGCTACCAGTGATCTTCACTTAACTAGTACATCTGGGCGTTGTTGGTTCGGCGGCGAACAGGTAGTGCTGTAAATAAAGTTTGTAGTTGGTCTTGATCGGTGATGAAAGCTATACTCAACTTCATTTATTTTATTACAATCGAGAGGTTTTGCCCAAGTGGTTGCATAATACACTATTTTTGACGTCGAGATGTTTGTGATAGTTTTGAGTAATCATAAACTAAAAATAAACATTTACCCAGTGCTGCGAGGTTTGGAGTTTCTTTTTAATACATAAATTATTTCATAATTTCTAAGTCAAACCAGTGAGTTAAGGAAAAGAGAGATATTATCTTGCCTCCTTACCTACTCTGTTATCCCTCATGGAGCGTAGGTGCCGACCTGGAATCTCCCACTTGCTCTGTCCTAAGTAATCCTTTCTAGTGGCTATTCATCCTTCTCACATCTGCTTCCAATTCCCGGCTCAATGTGTTATTTGATCTCCCTCTTTTCCGTTTTCCTTCAGAATTCCAAGTTAGGGCTTGCCTCGTTATTCGGTTTGATGATTTTCTCAATATATGTCCTATCCACTTCCAAAGTCTTTTCCTAATTTTCTCTTCAGCTGGAAGTTGGTTTGTTCTCTCTTTTACAGTAGGCTGTTGCTGATGCTATCAGGTCAACGGACATTGAGTATCTAACGTAGACAATTGTCTATAAATACTTGTATACTTCCGATAATGGTTGTAGTAGTTCTCCAAGTTTCAGCTTCGTACAGTAGAACTGTCTTGACATTCGTGTTGAAGATTCTCACTTTGATATTGGTTGACAGTTGTTTTGAGTTCCATATATTCTTCAATTGTAGAAATGCATCTCTTGCTTTGTCAATACTCGCCTTTACGTCTGCATCGGATCCTCCTTTCTCATCGATGATGATACCCAGGTACATGAAAGTTTCCATCTCTTCCATAGTTACTCCATCAAGTGTGACTGAGTTAGTGTTCTCTGGATTGTATTTGAGGACTTTGTTTCTTTCCATGTGTACGTTACTGCTGCTCTTGAACCTCATTGGTTGGTTTGCCTTCTTTGTTCTTGAGTGGGTGCTCTGATTTACTATATCTTGAAGTTATTGCTTCTTTGATCACTTTCCAATTGTTCTCCATGTTAGTTCCCTTTTATTTGGATGGATCCTGTAAGGCTTGGAACCTGTTGTTGAGAGCTAACTTGAATTCATTGAGTTTGTCGGCAGCTCGAAAGAAGGCTATTAAACCTTTGTAATGCTCTTTCTTTAGCTTCAGTTTCATCTTCGCAACCACCAGATGGCGGTCTGAAGCTATGTCAGCTCTTCTCCTGGTTCTCACGTCTTCCATTGGCCTTGTGAATTTTTTAATGATGCAAATATGATCGATCTGATTCTTTGCAGTGTGATCTGGTGAGACCCATTTAGCTTTGTATATGCGTTTGTGGTGGAATATTATGCCACCTCTAACTTTTTTGGAATGCACATTTGTTTGCAAATCTCTCATCATTCTCGTTCATTTCTCTCAGTCAATCCATGTCGTCCCGTGATATCTTCATGTCCAGTATTGTCCATTTCAACTGTGGCGTTCAGTTCTATCAGGATGGTCAGCTTTTTTCCTGAAGACATCGCTATGATTGATTGCAACCTCTCATAAACAGATCTTTATCGTCGTCATTGTCATCATTGTTGCGTGCATAACACTGGATATAATTCCTCGTGATTTCCTCCTTCTTTGTTTTGAAGGATGCTTTGACGATTCTGGATCCGTGAGATTCCCATCCTATAAGTGCTTTACGTGCTTCTTTGGACAGCGTCAGAACAACCCCGTCAGTGTGTGGAGCATTTTCTTCGTGATCAGAGTACAATAGCACCTCTCCCGAATATAACGTTTTCTGTCCAACTAGGGTCCAATGGGTTTCACTTATTCTGCGAACCGCCAAGTTGTATCTCCTCATATCGATAGCTATTTGATTAGTCCTCCAGGTCTCCCACATTGTCCGGACATTCCGTATACCGATATTAACTATTACTGTGGTTGCGTGAGGGGGTATCGAACTCATGACTTCCAACGAATCTCGGTTTTTATCATGAGACCTCCTAATTCTTCTGAATGAAGATCTTTCGACTCCCAGGACAGAGTCTGAAGGGTTTAAACGATTTTTTGGATAGCGTTTTTAGCAAGGTTTTTTTCCTACGGGATAGGGTTGCTGACCCCATACCCAATCCTTCTCCTTTACCCGGGCTTGGGACCGGCAGTAACTCTAGAAAGGTTCTGGGCAGATTTTTTTGTTTCTTGATAATCTCAAAATATCCTATGTGAAGGTACACATTTTGTCCTGATGTTAGGATTTACTAATATCATGTGACCTTGTGTGGTTTTTATCTTGTTGGTGCAGGTTATATTATGTGACTTCGGTTCTGAAATGTGGGTGCTAGCAATATCTTTCACACAATAAGTGTTTCACAGCTTTTAAAACAAAATAGTATTGAATCACAGATCAGGATGATTGTGTTAGTATTTCTAGTGCCGAATTATTATTGTCGGTTAATATGTTGACTAAGTAGTTGAGTTGCTCGAATTTTAACTACTGGATTACAAGTTCATAGCTTACTACACTTTGACTGCACTATCCAGGAAGTATCACTAGTCATCACTAAAAAGAAGTATGCTTCAAGCCTTGGGTATTGCTTTGTATTATGTGGTTCTTTCGCCGAATTATTTTGCCTTCGGTCATACCTTACAACTGATAAGGAATGTCATTTTACGTCTAGTCGTACTGAGATATCATAAGCTTTTGGTGTCCTCATAAAGACTCACATTGGATTCGTGACTATAAACACCGATCAGAAACCGGACTACTAAATTACGACTTATTTTCTTGGAGATCATCAATAATCAAAAGAGGTTTGTTATTATTTGCTGATTTACTAGATCAGATTTATCGGTTCATAACTTGAATCATGTTGTATATTAACTGACTTTTTCTAATCTTGTCATGGTTTCAGCAATTTATTACCGACGTAAATCAGGAGGAAATTTGTTCACTAGCTATTCATACTTCTGCAATATGGATTTCTAATTTTGTGACAAATAACTGTCATTCATCAGTTGTCAGTTATTTAGATATTGTGCATATGATCTATAATTCAATGCAATATTCTGAAAACCTTTATTTAACCGGAATAAATGCTTTAATAAATATATATGAATCCGATGGTGTTGGATTAAAGTAAGGCTTTGTTTTACTTATCATTATATTTCTGTTGTATTTCCCAAATTCAACCTTCACATACTGATAGTTTCAGTGAATACTTAATAAGTGTACGTTAATCTATCTCATCAGTTTCTTATTTATTGGCCTCCTGATTGTAATCAAAGAAAGTGTTATATTTTGTATTGGAATAACAGAAAGAGTTAGTTTATCTTAGTTTTGATTTATTGGTTACATTTTCGTGGTTTCGATATACTAATTCAGTTCTCAGAAAATCGTCTTCTTTTGCCATTCCAGTTAGTTATAGACTGAGAATACAAATGTAAATCATCAGATTATTGTGGTTACCATGTCTTCATTATGCATAATAGGGGTCTAGATGCTATTAAGTGTAACATTTTAACTTAGAAATAAAAAGACGCGGTTTATAGTCTTTGACTGTCGATCTCATTTGTGGCATTTTAGGGAAAATGTAGCTCTTGTAATGCAATACATGGAAACTAACAACAACTCGAATGTTTATGAGCAGCGCATACATATCTGCTTAAACTTTGGTGAGTAGAGATGATTTCTTGCTTATAACAAGGTAGACTGTTTAAACGACTGAGCTACATCTCGGATTCGATGTAGAAATCATGTGCTTGCTGAAAGTTACATACGAAATGATACTATTGTCTCATCAATATATGTTTTTATTCCCCTCAATGACATGCTACTCTTCTCTCCCTATTTTAATTCCAGTTCAGATAGAGATGCAGGGTTTTTACTTGATTTTCATGTCTCCGAATTGACAAAGTTCAAGTATACTTTACAACATCTTGTCGAATTACATTCAATAAATCATCAAAATGGTGTTCAATGGAATGAATTTAAAGGATATGAAGCATTGAACAAAACTGTACTACTTTTATCAATCTTGTCAGAGAAACAGGTGCTTATATTTGTATAACCATATGATTGTTATGATAGTAGTGCGTATTTTTTTTATTTCAACACATTAATATTAGTACAAGAGGGCACCAAATACATATGCGCCACACAAATCTCATTCGATATGTATGAGGGCTGTGATACTGCCCGGGTGCCCAAACCGAAACAGGTGGTTTTCTTAGGGGACCACACCTCGAGCCTTCGACCTGAAGGTCTGACCCACAAGGCAGTGGAGCATCGTGAGGAGATGAAGCCCCATGGTAGTCGGTGACCAACGACTGGTTCATACGCCATTTGTTCCCTCAGGATACTGGAGCCCATGTGCACCATTGGTTTGGAATCCGGTTAAAGCGCCGGACGTTTGCTTTTCGTCCTCTCACTTTCGTAAACAACACCCCCGCCACGAGAAGGCAATGAGTAGGACTTCTCTGGCAGAGGCTGTATACGCGTGGCCGTGTGAGAGCATTTCGAGAGGGAGGGCGGGCCCACCCCACTCTCGGCCATACCATATTTTGATGTACAGAAACCATTTCCAATATTATTTAAATCTAAGGTGGAAATTACCTCTTAGATAATAATGAAAGAGGTAATCGTTTATTGACTTTTATTGTACATTTCAGTTGGCAATATGTAGTTCATCTATGACAATCGAACTGCTTGACAAGGTTTCTTTTTTTAGTGACTTACCAACCTACCTTATGATTCAGTTAAAAAACTAAGATTGTTTATATATGGTATGTTAAATAAACTAGATATCATCTTTAGTTTAGATAAAATAATGTACCAAAGTTCAGGAGTATACTAATAATAATATCAGTGAACTATGTACAACATCCTTTTGGTATTCGAAATAGGTTAAACGAGATCAGCTGACGAAACAGTGATGCTGATACAATTATTTTCTTAGTGTGACACTGACTTATTTATTTCAGAAAAGAAATCCATATCAGTTTAACTTTTGTATTATATCACTGAGTAGTTGTAAACTCAGTTACTTACTTAAGTGTGATTATAATGTTAAAGTCAGAGGAACAGATGGATAGAGTACTTTGAGGAACTCTTGAATAGATCAGCCCCACTGAATCCATTGGACATCGAAGCAGCACACACAGACCTTACTATAGCTGTCACTCCACCAACGATCGAAAAGATCAGGATGGCCATCAGACAAATCAAGAACGTGAAAACAACAGGACCTGACAGTATACCAGCTGGAGAACTGAAGTCAGATATCGAAGTAACTACAAACATTTTTCACCTTCTATTTAAAAAAATTTGGGAGGAGGAACAAGTGCCGATAGACTGGAAAGTAGGACACCTCATCAAGATACCAAAGAAACGACATTTGAGAAAATGTGAGAACTACAGAGGCATCACACTACTGTCAGTACCAGGAAACGTTTTCAACAGTGTTGCTCAACCGATTGAAAGACGCAGTAGACGCCCAACTTCGAGATCGACAGGTTGGATTCCGTAAGGATCGATCGTGCACAGACCAAATTGCGACACTACGGATCATCGTCAGAAAATCAGTTGAGTGAAACTCGTCACTATACATCAACTTCATTGACCATGAGAAGGCGTTTGACAGTTGACAATTAGTGGCGAAATTCTGGAATATATGCAATCCTTCACGTACCAGGAAAGCATCATCAATGAATAAGGAGGATTCGATGCAGACGTAAAGGCGAGTATTGGCAAAGCAAGAGATGCATTTCTACAATTTAAGAACAGATGGAACTCAAAACAACTGTCAACCAATATCAAAGTGAAAATCTTCAATACGAACGTTAAGACAGTTCTACTATACGAAGCTGAAACTTGGAGAACTACTACAAACATCATCAAGAAGGTACAAGTATTTATAAATAATTGTCTACGCAAGATAATCAACATCGATTGGCGGGATATAATCAGCAACAGCCTACTGTGGGAGAGGACAAACCAGCTTCCAACTGAAGATGAAATTAGGAAAAGACGTTGGAAGTGGATAGGACATACATTGAGGAAATCATCAAACTGCTTCACAAGGCAAGCTTTAACTTGGAATCCTAGAGGGAAGCGGCGGCCTATGCTCCTCCACGAGGAGTAACAGGCGTAAGTAAGTACTATAATGTTAAAGTGGACTTGACAGAATTTTTATAAGAGCGTAATACACTTTTTTTAGCAGAATAATTTGGTTATTTGAAGATGATCACCGTGTGATTTTGATTTGTTTACTATAAAAAACTGTCAAATCTCTCGTATATATTCATTAAACTAAGAAGCCCCTTATAATACTTCATACAGTTGAAAGTTTCTCAATATATATTAACACTATGTTGTGTTTTAGTAATAGCTTGTCATCCACTTTTATTTCAGCTTGTTTAAGGTGGTCGCTCTTTAGTTACAGCTGATGTAAATTGTTTTGGAGTCCAAAATGTAGAGATTAATAATGGAGCTTTCTTTAACTGTTTATAGTTTCAGCGGTTTTTCTTTAGTCTGTGAATCTTTATAAGGATTTAAAACGCATTAGTTCTTGAGTAAATCATTTCCGATTTGATTTGATAATGTTTGTCATTAAACATTGTTATTAAACTTCGACAAGTTTGCATTTGTGACAAGTTCTGTGTTGTCAACAACTAGCTAAACACTACCTGATCAAAAATGTTTAAAAATCCACTATCCTCAAATTCAAAACATTCATATGAAATTAACCATCTCAGGGTTACGTCACTGACTCATTTTCATTTTCAGCGGTTTTGATGGATTTCATTAGGTTCCTTTTAATGAACCATAAATAGTCAGTCCTAAATGCACCTAATAGTCAGATAAGTAAATGCCCCGATTGAGTTATATCGGGAAACCTTTCGTTATATCCGTCCGATATGTGGTACTTATTTTCAATCTTCATATAGAGTTAGGAAATTATTAGTCTCTAGCATAAAAAATTATACTGCTTAATGTGTTAAACAAACGACTTTGTGAATAGGGCAAATATTAGATTATCAAAGTTCCGTCAGTTCACTGATAGAAATCTTGTTACCTCATAAAGCTCATCTTCAGATAGTAGATTGTACTGTTGACCTTAGCATCAGTTTAAGTTATATTCTACTACATGAGGCATGTATTTTGCCTGTTCCGCTATATTTTGTTTATTGCTTATATTCTCCCACTTATTTTAAGGTTTTCTATCCTGTAGACATCTATCATCTTATTTTATCATTTTGTTTAGATGGATTATCTCATTCATCGACTTAGTAATTCACGCGTTAATACCACTAACCAGTCTATTCATGAATTATTTGATATGTTTCTGTTAACATTCTCACTAACTGGTCATTATCCTTACGATGAAGATATCAGTGATGTCGCTTTACAAATATGGTTGAATATTCATGAAGCATCAATTAGCACAACCGCATATACTGTTGGTAATGTTCACGATGAAGATGCTAGATTATCTGAAGATACAATTAGACGTATCCATATGGAATTCAGTCAACGCGCATTTATTAAAGTAGGTTAAATAATTCGTCTCTGTAACGTTAATAGTAATAATCGAAAGAAAAATAGATCTTATACACTAGTTGCTGTGCAAGATCTTATCCATTGTTGTCTACATTGAGTTAAGTTGACATAAAACGTTAGTTATAAAATAGTTCGAATAAGTCATGTTCAGATCGCTAACCTGCAACTTCTTTTATAATTTTTATATGTAGTATTTGCTCTTAAGGATAGATTTTTGTTAGGATTGACCCAAATCAATATTATTTATAACTTTTCATGATTATCGTTGTATCAATTGTTCGCTCGACCTTTCGCGTTGCAATATTGTTATGGCTTTTATGATATGATAATCCCATTTAACTGACTCATATTGTTGGGCTTACAGTAATTGCTAGTTACAGAACAATTAGGATTTTTCCAAAGTGAACAACAGGAAAATTGAATTGTGTAGGCGACCTTGGAGGCTCCCAAATGATCCTGAGTCACATATTAACCAATCGGAAAGGTGTATGATTATTAAACAGCCTATAATAAAAACGTGATAAATTTACAAAGGTTAAGGTGTTTTGACACAAATGATGAACCTTTTCGTATGAGTTGTTACATGCTATTCATCGTTGTGTTTGGGTTCCGCGTTAAAATCAAGTAGCAACATTTTTTAATACTATTATATGTTGGTAGGTCTTACACAGTTTACTTCTGCCCTAATGGTTTCTCTAACTTATTGGACATATCAACACCAGTAATTTACACATGAATATACCATAGAAAAAACGAAACGTTGAATGTAAAGTAAGGATTTGGACGATCTTGAGATTCTAACCTATTTTAGTCAATTAGGAGACGACAAAGATAATCGAATTACTTATTATGTTTGGAATTAGGATGAAAATCTGGGTTTTCGAATCTTCACACTAGATCTGGTGTCACTTCATGATGAAAACCGTAATCCAGAGAGATGATAATTTATGAACGAACTATCAGATTTAAAATTGTGGCTCTTAGATATTTGCGCGAGGTTTATTCATCTCAGTCAGTTAGTCACAACGTAGAATCTGTATATATGTACATCAGTTCAAGTTGCCTTACTCCATTAGCACACCGAGATAAAATTATCAGACAAAACCCCAGAATAATGGAGGTAGTAACAATATCATTAGTAATAGGAAAGGTTAGGCATCTAAGCTACGACTCAAAAAGGAAAAAAATAAATTAGCGAAACAGAAACAAAAATGTTATGAGAAATTTAGAATCTCAGGATTTGGAGAAAGGCAAAGAACGGATGCACCTACACCATTTTAAACAATTTTGAGCCGTGTCTTTCAAAGTCTCTAACGATTGGTTACTATAATCGCGCGAACCCCAAGCAGGTAATCTGTACCTGTGTGTGTGACCGCAGAGCCCAAGGGATAACTGCTTGGTGCCGCTCTCGCACAGCGTTTTTATGGGTTAGCTCCGCACTTCAAAAACGCCGGAGGAGATCCGTGGTTTAAAGTGAGGTGTAACATTTTTAGGGTCGACCTTATTTAATCACTTCCTTCCGTTGTGAGAAGTAAACATCGCTGCAGACGCTAGTTCTCCGAGTGAAACCCCTTATGCTGTCACTACCTGTACAGTCAGGAGTATAACTTCACTCTCGGGCCCTAAGTTGCTGCTTTTAGTCTTGCCGTTCTCCTATTTTATATTTTCATATACAAATATCTCCGAGCAGCAAAGATAGTCTTTTGATTTAACCGACCTTGAGTGCGTTATCCTGCTGAATTTGATGATGCTAGTAGATGCAGACTACTTGGATGGGGTCCTTGAGATAACCGCTATCTATATCTAAAGATTTTAGGTAACAGCGCTGAGTCGTTCGCGATTATGCAGGTGCACTCCTTCTTTGTCTACCTCTCGATCTGGAGTTCTAGTGTTCCTTTATTGACACCCTCCCACTTTGTATTTTCTGAATGTCTTCTAAATGCGTAATGTTTTTTAAGTAGCATTTTAATTTTTTGTTGCAAGTATTGTTAATCTCATTTAGTCGTGCTCATTGTGGGGTAAAGGAACTTGAGTCAATGTATATCTTGATTGATTGTACACTAATAAATATTTCAGCGTATAAATTCTCACATTATGTTAATATTTATCATGCCATTTCCAGTCCCATTATCCAAAAGATTTAAATCAATTTTATACCATATGGAACCAAGAGGATAGAGATCGTTGGTTGAAATTTCGTCAAGAAATAAGTAACTGCTTTCTCTCAGTGTTCAGATACTTGAATTTGCATGACTGGTTTCTTCAAGCAACTAATCAACTTCAGTCTACTATATACAATTGTACAAATGAGGAATTATTAGCCAATTGGCAGGTTTGTATGTCTTGGTAGTTGCCTTTTTACTTTTTGTTTTTACTCAACGGATTCTGTGAAATGTCTTGGTTGACAGTCTAGTATGCTTTTACAAAAATGGTGGTTGTTTTTTTGCATCAAATAAACGTATTTGTCTAAATTTGTTTGAAATAGATTTAGAAAATTACAGTTAAGATGAGTATTGCAGATGATGTAGTCAATTACTAAACAGGTCTCCTCTGTGTTCTATAAAAATACTAGTCACTCAGTAAGTGGGTGCTGGAAGCTGTTCAAGCCAGACTAAATAGTCCTGCATTAATTTCCATAAAACTTTACCGTTCTCATTATTTCCTGATAGTAAGAGTTTGTCTGTCATTGAAGTTTTTTCTTTCATCAGTTCGTGAGACCATTGGCTATTTACCAGAAGTGTATTGAAATATGTAAGTTTTTTGCTTATGGTGAGCAAAATGATCATAATCTTTATTTAAAAATCTTGGATTTCATGACTGAAAATTTGTTGCAATAGTGCAGATGGTTAAGGTTTATGATACGTATTCGTTCTATGATGATCGGCATACAAAGTAGGCTTCAAAAGAGGTTAAAATGATCAGACTGAAACTGTCATTTCTTAAGATTATTTACGGTGAAATCAGTCACAGTGACACAGATAAACCCAGTTCATATCTCGAACTTTAATATTTACACTTCCCTATTCCAACTACGTCCGTTCTGTCGGAACTAATTTTCCTGTGTTTAGTTCTCAACTACAATCGGTATTATTACTTCAATTCATTTGCTCACCTTCTTGTTAGTTTCCTCTTGTCAGGTTGATTTGAATTTCAGTAAGTTAATGCAATAGTTGTTTGTACCAAATCCAACGTTTATTACTGACCTGTTGGCAAAGTAACTAGAGGGAAATCTTAAATGTCATGACTCAAAATCGGCCTCAATGGTGTAAATGTGTCATTGTTTGATACTTTTGATTTCTCAACTTCATCCATTTGTTTGATGCTTATTTTTGTTGTAATGAACACACATAAGGACAACCGATTATATTTAGCACAAAATTACAGAGTTACTTGATAAAATAGAAAAACCATACTCTAATACTTCATTTAGGTAATGTTCACTGATTGTTTCAGACTTTGTTATAACTTATGTCCTGAGTGCCCTGTTAATGTATAACGTAACGATACCGCCAATTAGAGAGTAGTGAATTATCGATCAGACCAATGACGCCTAAAACTCGTGTGAGCAGTCTAGAGTACTTATCGGTCCTGCTTCATGCCTAGACTAGCCAGTTAAGTTCAGAACACCAATATTAGCTTCTGCGACATGAATCGTTTATTTCAAACATACTAGGTTTATATACCAACCAGACAGACCACATCGTACCATAAAATAGAAAACAACATTTGTACAAGATTTAGCCAAATGTGGCTTTGAATGAGGGACATAATAATTAATAGACAGGCCATAACTCAAGAATGGTAAATCGTGTGATAATAGTTCGTAAATGAAAATAAGGTTCATAATAAGAGGGACACGAATATGAATAGTTTAGTTATTTAACAATTATACGATAAAAATATACGCTTAGTACTGGTCCATAAATGGAACTCAAAAATTACCATTCATTATGCTTACCGGGGCATAACAGACTTCATTGTTCCTGAATTTTCATACCAATTTCTTTCCGTTCCCGTTCTTTCCTCCTCGATCTTCTCAATCTTCTGCTGCTAGGCATTCTATTCCTGACTGGCATTATATACTACTTATGTTATAAGTAGCACACACCATATTGTATTTAAGCTCTTCCATTATCACTGGTATTATATTACTACCATTTTCACTCCTTAGATTTTCTTCTTAGTTTCTTTTTATTGGTCTGGCATAAAGTGTACTAACTTGAGGTTATGCACACTTGTGATGCGTCCTATGTTTCACATATCTATCTGTTTGAATTCTATGGATTAAGTTAACAATGGGATCACTAGACTAAATTACTCGGTGTCACAATCTACTGTACGTAGTGTCATGTGGTTGAGTATTGCAAATAATCCAATAATAATAGCATATCTGAGTAGTTACCGATTGACACAAGTGCATTGATATTTATTTATTTAAACACAAACATTGGTATAATGAGGCACCAAATAGATATGCTCCACATAAATCATTCGATTTGTGCGGGGTCTGGGATACTGCCCGAGTGCCTAAACCGAAGCTGGTGGTTTTCTTATGGGGCCGCATCCGGAGCCTTTGACCTAGAAGTCTAATCCACATGGCAGTATAGCAACATCAGGAGATCCAGTCCAAGGGTAGCCGGTGACCAACAATTGGTTCATATGCCATTTGTTTCCTTAGGATCCCATAGCCTATGTACACCACTGGTTTGGAATGAGGGTTTTGCAACTTCCCTATATGGATCCTCCTTATACACCAACCCGAACATTCACTTTTCGTCCTCTCAATTTCGTAAACAACAGTGATGCCGCCAGAAGGTAACAATTAAGGACTTCCCTGGTAGTGATTGTCTGTACGTGTCCATGTGAGAGTATTTTGAGAGGAAGAGTTGACTCTCACCATTCTCGGCCGTACCAGGGTAGTGCATTGAAGTCATTTTAAAAGTGAAACATCAATGTTTTCAACAGATATTCTTTTATTACATGATCATAAACCTTAACACATACATAATGCCCCCAAATGCCCTGGTACGGCCGAGAGTGGGGAGAGTCCGCTCTCCTCGAAATACTCTCACATGCCACGCGTATATAGCCTCTGCCAGGGAAGTCCTACTCGCTGCCTTCTCGTAGCGGGGGTGTTGTTTACGAAAATGAGAGGACGAAAAGCGAATGTCCGGCGTTTTAACCGGATTCCAAACCAATGGTGCACATGGGCTCCAGTATCCTGAAGGAACAAATGACGTATGAACTAATCGTTAGTCACCGGCTTCCATGAGACTGCATCTCCTTACTATGCTCCACTGCCTTGTGGATCAGACCTTCAGGTCGAAGGCTCGAGGTGTGGTCCCCTAAGAAAACCACCTGCTTCGGTTTGGGCACCCGGGCAGTATCACAGCCCTCATACACATCGAATGAGATTTGTGTGGCGCATATGTATTTGGTGCTTCCTTATACCAATATCTATGTGTTAAAATAATAATAATAGTAATAATACATAAACCTTAACACATAATAATAGATATTTCACATTCATTTGTGTTTTGTTTTGCTTTTTTTTCCCTTTAACTTAGGAATCTGAAGCATTACTATTTATTCTATCATCAATTAGTGAACATGTTATCTATGAAAATGAATCTGGTATAATACCTTTATTAAATTTTGCTCAATTAATATCAAATATTATAATGAATTTTATTAATAAATTACAACAATCTATTACTTATTTCATTCATTCTAATAATGTTGTTCATTTACAACAACCTCATCTATTTCTATTATGTCATACTATATTATTATGTATAGAAAATTATTCTCCTATGATACTTTCAATGGATTCATTATCTGAAATTGATCTTATTCAATTTATCTTAAATTCATTATTATCTACTTGTATTACTGTTGAGAATGATCAAAATGATTTAATGGAATTATGTCATATATCACTTAGAGTACTTCAAATAATATTAAAGGTAATTGAAGATTGTTTTAAATTTTCTGTTTTGATGATCACAGATAATCAGTCGTAACAGATCCATTTCCTGTTCATATATATATATATGGATTTAATAGTTGAATTTATGAGTCATTTGATGCGAGATCACTGTGGAAAACCTAGAAACAATGGACGACCGTTTCGTCCTATTGTGGGACTCTTCAGTATTGCTCCTCTGTGATTTCCATCGCGGGATTACGAATCCAGGACCTTCCGTATCGAGCGTGAACACTCGACCTCTAGACCACTAAGGTGGCTGGAATCCAATTTACTTATTTGAACACATAAATATTGGTACAAGGGGGCACCAGATACATATACGCCACACAAATCTCATTTGACTTGTGTGAAAGCTGTGATACTGCGCGGGTGCCCAAACCGAAGCAGGTGGTTGTCTTAGGTCGCCACACCAGAAGCCTTCAACCTAAAGGTCAGATCCACAAGGAAGTGGAGCATCGTGAGGAGATGCAGTCCCATGGTAGTCGGTGACCAACGATTGGTTCATATGCCATTTGTTCCCTCAGGATACTGAAGCCCATGTACACCATTGGTTTGGAATGAGGGTTTCCCAACTCCCCTGGGCGTACTCTCCATATCCACCAACCCCATTAAAGTGCCGGATATTCGCTTTTCGTCCTCCCAATTTTGTAAACAACACCCCCGCCACGAGAAAACAGTGAGTAGCACTTCTCTGGCGGAGGGAGAGTGGACTCTCCCCACTCAGCCGTAACAGGGCATTTGGGGGCAGGACGGAATCCAACAGTGTTAATGTCTAACTTCAGCCAATTCACGAAATTGCTCCACGGTCCACCTTCGTCTCACGATAACCCTGATTGAACTCCACTGGTCACCGCTTCTCACTAGAACTTCATCAAATACCGACAGGTCCTGGGTTCGAATCTCGCGAGGTTGGATCATGAATGTACACTGCTGAGTAGTCTCATACTAGGAAGCCGTCCAGGTTTTCCATGGTGATCTAGCTTCATTTGACTCATGAATCGAACAATAAAATTATTATAATATCTACAACTCCCTCTCTGAATATATGGATTTTTTGACCAATTTAATGCAAAAACTCATATTACATATCAATCAATACTGTAGGTACAATGATGTCATGTTTTTGTTATAATTCTAACGTCTATATAGATTTTTCTTTATCTCTTTTTTTAATGGTTTTTCATATGTATAGAGCAAATTATCTTCATCAAATTTATTAGTCGATATGATAACAAATACATTGGAAAATTTTCTTAATCAAACAAAACCAATTGATCAAACTAGTAATAATTTAATATCTTATTGTATTGGTATGTTATTACGTTTATCTAAAGAAGAAAACAAAGAGCATACAATTAGTTCATTTCAAAATATTTTATACATTCGATTGGAAACTTTCAGACTATTGTGTACTACTACTACACAAGGTAAGTCTATATTTATCTTATGTTCTATTGAGAAGCTGTGACCAGTGGAGTTCAACCAGGTCTGTTGTGAGATAGTAACTCATTAATGACAATGGTGGATAGTGGCACAACTTCGTGGATTGATTGAAGTTAGACATCAATATCGTTGGATGCCGACTATCTCAGTGGTCTAGAGGTTAAGGATTCGCACTCGAGAACGAAGGTCCTGGGTTCGTAGTCCCACGGGTGGGCTCGTGGATGCACACTGCTGAGGAGTCCTGCTCTAAGAGAAAACGACCACCCAGTGCTTCCAGATTTTCAATGGTGGTCTAACATCAATCGGTTCAGGATCTCAATCAAAAACTTGATAATCTCCACAACTTGTAGCTGACTGACTGACTGACAGCTTCATACTGATAAATGAATAAATGTTTAGGTCATTTTTGCTGTTCCAGTTAATTGTTCCATGTATTCAGATAAGACAATTGATTAGAACAGTTGAATGTATTTGTTGCTTTTTTATTATCGCTGCTTCAGATTTCAGTGATCTTCCACAAAGTGCTATATCAGTTTGTTCACAGTTCACTTGTAAACAGAATGAAGTTAACAGAAAGTCTTATTTTATTTCGATTCTAGTGAGTCGTATAGTTTATAGTCAATTACCATGTTTTTTATGGTTATTTATGTCTATTAATTCATTTCGTTGTTTATTAATTCTTAGCTATTATTGATATCATATGGAACCGTTGAGTTGCATAGTTTCTCGAATTTCAATCGTGGGACAGTGTTGTAACGGGTGTGACTGCAGGATAGATGCGCAGCGTACTTATCGATCGCTTCTGTGACAGTGACACGTAGCGAACGACCTAGTGCCCTGATTGGTCTCGCTTCCCTGTCTAGCCCAGCCAGTTGAGTCAAGAACACAAGTCACAGCCTCTGAGTTATGAATCATTGTATTTCAGACATACTCTATTTATATACCAAACACACAAACCACATCGTACCATAAAATAGAAAACAACATTTACACAATATTTAACAAGTGAAATAAACACCGACCAATGGGAAATGTCCATCTAAGGTCCAAGGCCACCATAGACTTAACACGATAATTATTGGTATATTTTTCCTCAGCATCCATAACAGACAGTAACACACTAACGACACACTCCTATACTTCATACGCTGCTCTATATACTTGAATTTTGGAAGCCGGTTAGTATCATTAGCACCCACAATTAGAGTGCGGCCTATACCCAAGTACCTCGTCATACCATAAATTGATATTTTGTATCCAGAATAAGATTTTGATGATATAAAAAATGCCTTCGACATAAACACAACGACTTTTGGCTTGGATCATGACTCTAATCTATCGGAGTTCCTACTCTAACAACAAATAATAAACTGTTATAAGTATCAAACTGAATAGTGATGTATGTTTTGGCTCTTTGAGCTACACCAACGCCAACCGAACCAGGTCTCAGAGTTACTGAGAACGTTGATATCAAAACTTCCAAATGCAGCTAAATATGTGTTTTATCCAATTTGGATTTGAATGCAAACGTTGGAGGCTAGTTTAAATGGGACACGTCGATAATTTATTTTTTTAGTCAGTCTGTCATCATGCATAATTTCAACCATTCAGCAACTTAAAACTGTTTAGACAGAACAGAACCTTTATCAGAGACTAACTGCTTAGTGAGTTGAAAAATAAAAGTAAATAACGAATAGTAATAAAATGGAATGAACAAGCAAAGTAATGTGAAAGAGATATATTCTAATTAAATGGAACAAATATCACTTGAGTTTGTAGCATGACTCATACAGAAGCAGGTGTCTTTCTCTGTAAATCACCTCCTTAGCCTTTGATCTAGGGGTTTAATTCACAAGGCATTGGAACAACTTCAGGAGGTGAGATCCTATGGTAACAGGTGACTAAGGATATGTTTGTACACCAGTCGATCCTTCAAGATTCTGGAAACCATGTGTTAGTGTGATCCAGAAGATTCCTCGAAAAACGTTTAAAGTAGTGCTGAGAACGCAGATGTTTTTCTTAGGGAGCCACACCCGGAGCCTTTGACCTAAAAGTCTAATCCACATGGCAGTGTAGCAACGTCAGCAGATCCAGTCCCATGGTACCTGGTGATCAACAATTGGTTCATACGCCATTTGTTTCTTTAGGATCCTGGAGTTCATGTACACCATTGGTTTGGAATGAGGGTTTTGCAACTTCCCTAGGTGGACTCTCCGTGTTCACCAACCCGGGTAAAGCGCTGGACATTCGCTTTCCATCCTCTTAATTTCGTTAACACTCCCACCGCGAGAAGGCAGTGAGTAGAACTTCCCTGGTAGTGGTTGTATGCATGTGAGGGCATTTCGAAAGGAAGAATTGACTTCTCCCACTCTCGGCCGTATCAGGGCATATTTAGTAGGATTCCAGAATTTGAATGATTACTTGAATACTAGTGACATGACATTTACAAAAATGGATCGATCATCCATATTATTTTACCCTTTAACTTGTCAATAGTATCAAGAAACGCGTTAGGTTACAACAACACAGTTTTTATTATCGGACTGATCTATTGATTCTTATTATTTTTCGTCTTGATTAAGAAAGGCTTTATTGTTTAATACTAATCATTATTCTTATTTTAAAAAAATCTAACTGCAGCTGAACTCGTTCATTCAAACATTTCGTGGTTTTGTCTCAATTGAACAGCTAGTTGATAATGGACTAGTCAATGAACACATTATAACAATTCTATCAAAATTATTATGTTACTTGAAAGAGTCATTAACAGAAGTTATGTTTTCCAACCTTCCAGAATATTTTATGCAGGTTAGAAATGTTCCTTTCCTTATTATTAGTATTTTTATGTGTTTCTACCTGATGTATAATATTATAGTAATGGAACCAAGAATTATTGATATAAATTTCTTCATTATAGAGTGAAAAAGTTTTCATCACTGGGTGGTGATCAATGTTATGTATGTCAGTTTCTTCTTTATGTAGATCAAATTCTATCGACCAAGTTGCAATGTGGCCACTAGTCGATCTGCATCAAGAAGGACCTGACGTACATGACATGGGATCGAATTCGTCAGTGAGCAACAGTTCCTTCAAGATTACAGGTACACCTTGCTGACGAGTGACAAGTAGCACAAAACCTAGGTCCAGGGTTTCCTGTTGACTACCTCTAATGACCATCTTAATACCAGACCCTATGGCTTGTAGAAGTGAACTTTTCAATTATTTTACAAGTATCGCATTCGCTTGCTCTGGAAGATGTGGAATCCTTCACGTACCAGGAAAGCATCATCAATGAATAAGGAGGATCGGATGCAGACGTAAAGGCGAGTATTGGCAAAGCAAGAGCCGCATTCCTACGATTGAAGAACAGATGGATCTCAAAATAACTGTCAACCAATATCAAAGTGAGAATCTTCAATACAAACGTTAAGACAGTTCTACTGTACGAAGCTGAAACTTGGAGAACTAATACAAACATCATCAAGAAGGTACAAGTATTTATAAATAGTTGTCTACGCAAGATAATCAACATCGATTGGCGGGATATAATCAGCAACAGCCTACTGTGGGAGAGGACAAACCAGCTTCCAACTGAAGATGAAATTAGGAAAAGATGGCGGATGTGGATAGGACATACATTGAGGAAACCATCAAACTGCGTCACAAGGCAATCCCTAACTTGGAATCCTGAAGGGAAACGGGGAAGAGGAAGGCCAAATAACTTATTCAGTCGGGAAATACAAGCAGATATGAAAAGAATAAATAACACCTGGAAAGGATTGCCCAGGACAGGGTTGGATGCAGAATGCTGGTGTACGGTCTATGCTTCGCCACGAGGAGTAACAGGCGTGAGGAAGCAGGGTACCATGGGACTGTATCTCCTGACGTTGCTCCACTGCCTTGTGGACTAGTCCTCTAGGTCAAAGGTCCCGGGTTCAGCCCCCCTAAGGAAACCACCTGTTTCCGTTTTACAACTCGAACAGTATCTCAGCCCTCACACAAATGGGATGATTTATATGGCGCACATCTATTCGGTGCCTTCTTGTACCAATGTTTATGTGTTCAAATAATAACAATATGAAGATATGGTGACTGTTATATCCGAGCAGTTGATCAGTCTCTTGTCGGAATATGTGTATCCTGTGTGGGTTGCCTCGATATTACCTTAAGTCACAAGCTTTATAAGCCAAGATCGGTGATGGCTAGCAATGGAATCCAGGGCGCGCGTCTCCTCTTATTAGGAAGTCTTCAGCTGGATATACCTACATTTCAGAGTCCATGTGCACTCCGGGATTCAAACCCAGCATCGTTCGGTTCAATCTTCACCCCATTGCACAAATAAGTGGCTATCAGAACTCAGTAGCTAAGTGGATAACATGATGGCATTTGAGTCGAACGTACTAGGTTCGAGTCCTGGACTAGACGTCAAATCTTGGGTGTAGGTAGACACATTCGACGAGTCCAAAATAGGACGAAACGCGCGTCTTGGAACCATCTGCTAGCTACTGTCCATCTTTGCTTACTGTTCTTAAATTATGTTCAGTTTATTGATTACATTCTCCCATAATCACAGCCCCTTTTTGGTTTGATCTTGTATAAATGCTATTTCTTATTTTATGGTATGATAAATGATTCTCATAAAGGAAGCTGTTATTAGCGTTCTAGATGGACTAGGTGAACTCTAGGCTGTTTATACCAGTTGAACATCATTGATTTAGCACAATGCTAAGATTGAATAAGTCGTATTTCAATGGACGAATAAATCACATGATAACTAATCGAACTTTAAAGGCACAACACAGACAATATTGATTTACCTTTGACAATCTTAATAATATTGTTTTTTTCCTATTTTTCCCCCCTCCCCAAACAGTATCATAAACTCTTACGAGTCAGTTTACATATCTTCACATATCTATTAAAAAATCCGATTGATGATGTCATAGTTACTATGGTGAAAGAATCAATCAATTGTATATATTTCACATTTGATAATATATTAAATAAATATAATAAATTAGATGATGTTATATTAAAGTCTATTCATTATTATATTGAATGGTTATTCAATGATCAATATAGGAATATGAATGAATATTTATCATTATTACAATTAGCTACTAATTTATTCTCGAATATATTCGATAAAATCAATATTTTATTGATTAATCAAGTCCAATTGATTGGTGATAATAATGATATATTGTTTGGAAAATGTATTGGTTATACAAAAGAAGAACGTATCAATCATCCTATATCACCAATTTTAATGTCATTTATTGCACAATCTATTACAAAAGAAATTGAAATATCAAGTAGATTTGTTAGACAATTCATCAATTTCAAATTTCATGTAAGTAAGATATCATGTATTAAAGTAAAGATTAATTTGAATGTATTTATTCTTGAACATTGTGTTTTTCCCTCGAGAGAGGCGACTGAATAGTCGTTTTCGTGAAATTGATATAGGTAACAGTTACACATACCTCCCCAAATGCCCTGGTACAACTGAGAATGAGGAGATTCAACCCTCTATCTCTCTCGAAATGCTCTAACATGGTCACATGCATACAAGCACTGTCAGGGAAGTTCTACTCACTTCATTCTCGTGGCATTACTGTTGTTTACGAAATTGAGAGGACGAAAATTGAATGTTCAGCGATTTAGCCGGGTTGGTGGATATGGAGAATCCACCTGAGGAACCTTAATTCTAAACCAATTGTGTACATGGGCTCCAGGATCCTAAGGAAACAAATGGAGTATGAGCCAATCGTTGATCACTGGCTACTATGTGACTGGATCTTCTGACGTTACCTCACTGCCTTTTGGATTAGACCTTTAAGTCGAAGGCCCCGGGTGGGTTCCCTCAAGAAAACCATGTGCTTCATTTTGGGCACCCGGACAGTATATTAGCCCTCACACAAATGAAATGATTTATGTGGCGCATATTTATTTGATGCCTTGTACCTATGTTTTTGTGTTTATCTGATTGAAATTCCGTAAAACAGTGTGATACATACACTGTGTGCAGTTTTCAAAATTTACGGGAACCAAACCCATTGACTACAGAAGTGTGACATCAAGTTAACCACTTGATTGAGTCTAATATTTGTTTGTATGTTTAGTATCACAGTTCATGAATTTTTTTATCAAACCACTTGATAACTGCATGATCGGACTAAAATCTACCAGGCTTTATAATAACCACACTAGGTATACTGTTTATTTACTAAACCTAGTACTGATTATATCATGTGACATGTAGTTTAATATACATTTTGCAATAAATAGACTAAAGGAGGAAATGGTACTTTCTAGTCTAAATATTACATTCACAAACGTTTCATCCATGAAAATACGTTAACTCTTACAGAAAGCAGTATCTTTGTGAATGGTAAAGTGTTGAACAAGATAACTCTTATTTCAGTACTATTTAAAAACTGGGTAAGAGGATATATTGCTCATCAACATTTTCCAGTCAATAAAAAAAGACATCAAGAAACTTGAAAATAGATCAGGAACACAGTGGAGAACTGAACATACATAACAAAAGACAAACGAACCCTTACACATATGTATATACCCACACAAATTAGATTAGCCAGATGTCGTATAGCGATCTGCACTGTGCCAACTAATGATTAATAAATATAAATTCATTTATTTCACGACTCTATTATTTTGCATTTTGTAGACACCGATGACATACTTCCATTTATTTTGATCAGTTGTTCCAATTGACCATAAACAGTTTATTTAAAATAATTGACACAACAGTAATAGTTAATTTCATTCGCGGTCATATGTATTGTCAAACATCAGATATGCATACTATTATTTTCACATTATTGATTTATATTTACGTCTACAATTTTAACATCTCAACGTAAATGGATAGTGATTTTGTGAATCGATTTATATTCGATCAATTTTGATTATTTCCATAAAAAAGCTCGAATAAAACTACCCTGTGACTTGATTTTGTGGGTTAGTTGAAGTTAGACATTAACACCATGGGATGCCGAATTAGTAGTGTAGAGCAGGGCGATAGGTCGTGGGTTCGAATCTCGCGAGGCTGGATCATGTATGCGCACTGCTGAGTCCCACAATAAGATAAAATGGCCGATCAATGATTCCATGGTGGTCTAGCTTCAATTAACTCATGATCTCAACTTAATTGTTAAGATTTTTCCTTACAAATACAGTTTACTTTCTACCCCTTTCATTATGGAAACTGTTCAATTGTAGTTCTTACAAAATGTTAACGCAACATTTTTTTTCTCTCTTCATAAACAAATTTTTTTTTTCTAGGAAGAAAAAGAAAATCAAGAAAAACAAACTATTTTCAATTTACTTAATGATACACATAGATCATTCAAATTATTTTTATCATTAGCATTTAGTGGTATCAGTGTACCAGAATGGTCAACAGTTGAATCATGTATCCAATTAGCTTGTGATTTATTAACCATATTAACTCATGAAAATAAAACGATTGATCCATTAGTTATTTTAGATGATCAACTATTATTTGAAATTAATGTATGCCTATTATTAATATTGTCTAAAGGTATACCACCACCTCAAAGACTTATAATCAAATATGCAGAATTTTATTGTTCCTTAGCCAAATTATTTCCATATAAACAATTTGTTTTATTAAGTTTTATAACTGGCAATATACACACTATTAATCAAGAATATAAATTGAAGTTAATACAAATTCCACATTGTAATATTTTAATTGAAATTATAACAGATTGTTTATGTTATACAAGTTTAGCGGAACGAGCACATTTTGTTACCATAGTAACAAAACCTTTCGTTTCACTTCATAAAGTGACAAGCAGTATAACAACTTTTATGCGTTTATTATCACCACGACCACCAGCACCACAAAAACTTGAAAAATTGTAAACATAAATTTATTTATATAGATTTATAGATATAAACACAGATGAAATAATAAATATTATACAATGAATTGTTGATTTTCTTTTTCTTCTTCTCCTCTGTTTAATTCTGAACTTTCAACTTGAGTTTCTAAGCCCTATTTATAGAAAAGTTAAGATTACATAGGGAAATTATAAAGATCACTTACATTAGTGTAAATCAGGATATCATTAGCTTCACCATTCTCAGTCTGTACTAATATTTCTGAATTATTATCGTTTATTAAGTCTAGATTTTAGAAAGTAAAGAAATTTTTTAAAAAATAATGTAAAATTACCAGCTTGATTTACAATTGCTAGTTGAGGTTGACCATTTTCACCTTGAATCATTACTAATGTCTGACCTTCTTCAAGTTGAAGATCATCAGGAAGTATAAATTGTTGTACCACTTCACCACCTTCATCAGTTACATCAATGGTGGTTGTTCCATCGCTTTGAGTTGTAATCTGAGTTCCGCCGAGCATGGCTGTTTGATCTTCTTGTGACTCAATAAGTCGCATAGAATGTGCCTGGTCTGTATCAACGGTCATCATAACCACATCATTATCGGAAATATTGGTAGTTGATGTAGACAATAAGGAAGGTTCACTAATCATGATAATCTTCTGATCTGTAGTTCCATATGGGTTATCACTCTGAAATGAAATATATATTACGAGTTAGCGTGAAATAATATTTTGCTAGATTGATACTGTTTTAACATGTTACTTGTGTGCCCTGTTCATGTATAACGTAACGATACCGTCAATTAGAGAGCAGTGAATTATCGATCGGACCAATGACGCCTAAAACCCGTGTGAGTAGTCTAGAGTACTTATCGGTCCTGCTTCATGCCTAGCCCAGCCAGTTAAGTCCAGAACACCAATATCAGCTTCTGCGATATGAATCGTTTATTTCAAACATACTAGGTTTATATACCAACCATACAGACCACATCATACCATAAAATCGAAAGCAACATTTGTACAAGAATTAGCCAAATGTAGCTGTGAACGTGCGAAGTAGTAATTAATAGATAGGGCATGATTCAAGAATGGTTAATCGTATAATAATAGTTCATAGGTCAAAATAAAGAGGGGTATGAATAGTTTAGTTACCTAACAATTATACGACAAAATTATATGCATAGTATTTGTTCATAAATTGATCCCCAAAGTTATTCATTATGTTTATCGGGGCACAACAGATAGCTATATATAGACCATTAAGAAGTAGTAGGATATTTAAAGTGGAAAACTAGAATATCTCATACCACTTGCAACCGAACTCGGTGAATCTTGAAATATTGAGTTAATTTGGTCTATGTGGGGCAACGGCTTCATCATATGTCTTGATTCCTACTTCCGCCATAAACTTGGGACGTTATCAGAAACAGCTAAAGATAGAAGCGTACTAAGTAAGAAAAGGACGATTATGGACTGCTTTTCTCATATACTAGTTCTTACAATTTACGTTTTTAAACCCGATTGTATACTTCAGCGGCTCATCTTGAGATTTCTGACATCTTTAGACTTCACTAAGATGCTAAATGATTGCGTTCAGAAATTTATAACTGAATGTGATATATTAAGCAGCACTGTGATATTACACATGCCAATTGAACGTAGGTCAGACGGACATGTCTAGTTGTTTTTAGAAAGATACTTTGTTGATGTTTATCACACCTTGGGAATTCATAATTGTTCTCTGAATGTAGGTTTGGAAAGTGTCCCATATACATCCGGAAACCATGTAAACTTGTTATTTGACGTCAGTGTGACTCTACTAGGGCCGATGTATTTGACTACACTCCCACTAATAGTTGTGAATGTGGGAAGTGCAATCTTTGTAATCACATACGCGCCAACAAATTACAGTACCGAATGCACCGGAATTATGTTTCATTACTACCTTGTCATGTTAGATGAATCGTTTTGCATTTTATTATGTGATTCGACTGAGTCACAATCCCATTAGAACTTCATTATTCTATTATGTGGAGGAAAGGAAATGGGGCTTCACTGGGAACATTCAGAAAGTCATGCCTATAATTCAGATGAACAAATAGAAGTGTCTAGGTTAAGCCGAACAAAAATGTGAGGACAGTGAACTTGACTGGATGTATAATTTACTTACGAAGCCCATATCGTACCTGTATCTTAATCCAGAATATAACCAATCTTGCCTTACATGGCACATTAATCTCTTGCGGGTGGACTGTCGCTGATGTGTTAATGAGCTTCTTTACCCTACAATTCAAACTGATCATATATTTTAATCAACTACCGCTAGTGCGAATGTATTCCGAACCGGGCATTTTTTATATTTTTTGTCATGTTTTAGTATAAACAAAAATACTTTTTAATAATTAACAAGTTAAACGCGGTTGTAGGTTGCAAAGAGTGACCACGGTGAATATAGAGAGGAGTATCAGAAAGTAAAACAAGTTGGGAACCGTAAAGAATTAAGAACAATATGTAACTAGAGCTCAATTTTCTAAGTGTGCGGTATGCCTCGGTTCAGTTTTAGGTTCGCATATAAGAAGTTTGTGTGTCAGTATCATAGTCGAAGGTCACAAAAAAAGAACACTCATGAAACATGCCGCTGATTAAGAATTCATACCTAAATAGTCAAGATCTTTTTTGTATTTCTACTCGGCTAAGACTTCATTTGTGATTTTCAGTAATCTAAATTCGTAAAAAGTTTAAAAGACGATAAGGTATCAACCTACTTCATTTCGATCCGACTCTTGATGTTTTTCAGAAGCTTCACTTTGTCTAGCTTCTGTCTGTGCAAATGATATTGACATGTCTGGACGCAGCGTTGCAGTTAGTGTTCCACATTCTTCAACAAGGTGTCGTGCAAGACTATTGCCATCTAGGTTACTTGTTCCACAGTGTGAACAGTATAGAAGTCGTGAGTCGACTTGACTTTCCATATATCTTCTTATAGAGTCATTCGGGTTAGGCTGCTTCGTTAAACTTTGCATCTCAGTTTCTGGTACATTCACAACATTGCCCAATTCGTCAGTAAAGACAATTGTTGTAAAATTTCCCATATCACTAGGTGTCAAATCCGTAATCTCATTTACGACAAGATCTTGTCGATCACCTGAAACAGTCGCTAGTCCCGATGACGCATTGTCGTTGCATGGAAGATTGTATTCATTGCACCAGTCGAAAAAGATCTGACGAACCATTGGCATACCACAATCAAGATCTGTTGATTGAGAAGCATTCGAATAGACATGAAGTTTTTGAAAATGACGCTGAAAGCCAACACTACAGCATGTTGCAAATCTGCACACGGAACACGGTAAATATTGCCTGCAAACAAGATTATTGTTGAAGTGGAGATAAAAGAGGGTTTACCATTAAATGGCTTAAAAGATTTATTGAAAAAGCAAATATTAAAAATTGCTTGTATTTGTTATTTTGAAGGTCTTCGTTGGATCATACGACCTGGAAAACATATATTTAGTATTTATGGCGCTTATTTCAACCTAATGTAGTTAGAATCGTTCAAAAGTCTAAGATATTGTACATTCATAGCACTCTAATTGCTCTAGTTAAACAATCTTATAACCCCATACTTACTACATTCAGTAATTTATCCAAGTGAGATCGATATAATAAGTGAGTGAATATTATTATCTTAACAGTCACATAAAGGCAGTTGTTTCATTTTTCTATAGATTTTGCTGTAGGGCAAATGAAATAGTTCTTCTTCGTGGTTTTATTTGATTTTTATACACCAATTATGTGATCGATATTTCAAACACTTACGCATGTTCAGAATCACCCATACGTTTTCCACATTCCAGACATTCCAAACTCTCAATATTCTCAGGTAAGAAGTTTATAGCTAAGTTTTTTGCACAACCAGCCTCCGGAGCATTCATTGATGTTACATGTGGTCGAACTATACGAATCGAATCTATGGATGTGTTGTGGTCGCCGAAGTTCTCAGTAGCCTGGGTCGTATGCTGTTTTGTTTGATAACATTCTAGCTATGAAAAATTGAATAATAGTTAAGAAATTAAGTTTGAAATAGTTAAGGTAAGAAAAATGAGCGGGTAGAATTATAGCCGCTTACTGATATTTATTAGAAGGGCATTCTATTTATACTTATATGAGAGGATTGGTGTAATTCAGTAACCAAGTAAATTAATTCTACCTGACTTTGAGTCATACTCACTTTTTAGGAGGAACTTGAAGCTATTGACGTCGAAAATAAGTGTAATTCAAGTCCGAAAACCAGCATTCAAATGTTGAATGCTTGATTCACTAAGTCATTAAAATAACTATGTTTGTGTTAAGGACAGAACGACCAATGCTTGACGCTGTCGACAATCTACTGTTAAGCTACGAAAACTATTGAGTCTAGAAATCAAGCCCAGGTTGGTGCATATACACACTAAAGTTAGTGAGACAATGTTGATTCGATTAAATATTCTTTTTCACGTGTGAAACCTCTGTAGATGGTTAATAGACGTTTCCTTCTAGTCAGCGAGTGGTTACAAATCTCCAGTGCGAACTATACTCGTCTGTAGAATCAACCATTACTAACAACTGAAGATAAAAAAATTCTTGTAAGTCTATCCAGCGCTGATGGATAATGCTGGACTTAACTTGGTTTGATATTTGTGTGAACAATTCGTTTTTTAATAATAAATACTGTTTCCATTCACTTATCCCTTATACGGCTCTTCCCTTTTGTATTTTTTCGTAATTATATTACCCCATTTTGTACGACACATTTTTGTTGTTCTGATTTATTATCTACGCCACAAAATTCGAGTACAAACCTATTTCCTGTTTTTCCAATTATTATGTATTGTGCTTCGATGTTTAATGCAACAAAGTCATGTCGCCAGATGTTCAATCTTTTTTGACCATTCAGTTTAACAAGTGTTGTTTATGTATCCAGTTTTGTTATAAAACTAGTTAAGCATACACTTTACAACTCACTTATAAATTGTAAATAGGGAAATCAAGTAAATTACTTTTAACAACTAACCTCATATGAATCTTGACGAAGATCTGGCTTCTCAGTACCTAGGTCTCTTGTGGCTTTATGATCTAGGCGTCGATGTACTTGGTAGTCTGATTTATTAGTGAAATTTAAACGGCACGTTGGACATCGACGAAGTTGGTGTTTGATTTGATGCAGACGTAAATGTTGAAGATAAACTTGCGTCTGACCAACACCTAAACCAAGGCCTACAGTACTTATCCCACCAGAAGCTGACAGACAAACTGGTTGAGTGTTCGAACGCGCATCCGAAGGGGTAAATATACGAAGACAATAGGTACAAAGTAAATGGTTTGAGCTATCATGCATCTGTAACAAAAAAGATCATATGATTATGAAACTGTATAGGATTAACGAAGTAGATACTAAAGAGTTATAAAATATATTAGAGATGTGGTTGCACTTATAGGATATCATAGAAATAGGGATAGATTTTACTTGTAGCTTATCACAATTTCTGCAGGATTCTTACAACTACTTGACACCCATCACTTTATGTCGGTGGATCGTATGACAATGGGCGTAGACTTTCTACGCATAGAATCCCACAACGCAAGTATAAGGATAGCAAAACTTGGTAATAACAGTGTTAAGGAGTTAGAAGAAGCAGGTGCATCGTACAACTCGCATACTTTGTTTCGACCCACCAGAGTCACTAACAACAAGAAGCCTGATATCAGTAAAACAGTTCATGCGATTAATGCCTCTCCAATTAGTAACATACGTTTGGATGTCAACCGCACTGTCATGTGCTAAAAGAAGATAGTCTGATCAACGTTGTTGGAAAAATCAACCTACCTTGTGTAGCCCATGCTTTTGGTTAGTAATTGTATAAACAATTTCTGTTACAGAAAAAGTACGAATGCGATAAACAAGGAACTGCAACCTCCTTTATCCTATCAAGTTTTTACAATAACATCTATTCGGACAGCCCATAGGCGGTTGTTGAAAGAAATTAATCTAACTTATAGTATTAACGAAGCGACATGAAGTAAAAAGTGGAAGAAAAGGATTGATAAACTAAGTTAGAACGGGGAATAAATTTTGATATATAGGTATGTTACTAACATGACAGTGGAGAAAATCCGCATCCAATGTCAGCTGATGAAACATCTAATCTTGTTGTTTTTTACCGAATGAAAACAATGTAGTTTCCTGAAGTCGTAAAATAATTATACCATATTGCTTGAAATGAAGTGGAGTGATCATCAAATCATTTTACAAGGGTAAGACGAGTGAACTGAAGTTTGGAAAACAGTGAATAAAAAAAATGGGGTAGCTATCCCCAGAAAGGTATATTACGAGAAGACTTTTATACTAAAGACGTTCTTTAGTTTCCTATTTTGAAAGCAATATAAAAGGCTTAAGATACTATATGACAAACTTGGATTCTCGTTCATAACTAGTTATTAGTCATATGTTAAACAATTCATAGTCATACTATCAGTGGGAGAGATTTGAACTTACCACTTTGCTATCATAACTCAGTTATATAATGGACACGGCAGTGCTACTAATGAGACGAAGCGATTTCTGGTGAGTAAAAAAACGCTAGTTGGGGCATTAGAGCGAATGTCTAGCGTAGCATAGATAAAACATTGGAAATTTTTACCGGTGGATATATTGACTTAAAATTTTAGTTTCCAAAGCTTGAAATTGTTTTCATAATATGCCCTTCACAATACATGATAAGTTCATCGTAGATGTAGACTACCTGGTTGGGATCCGCGAGACGATAGCAACCGATATTTGGAGACCTTGAATGATATGGCTCAAAATCGTTTGCAGTGGCGTAGTTGTATCCACTCTTTGTGTTCTCTCAAATTCTAATCTTATGAGCTGTTCATGTCCTTTTTTTCTCTTTCCAAATTTATTTCATTGGATTATACTGTATAAATAACATCTTCAAACTTTAATGTTTTCGATTACCGTTCTTATACTCTTACTACCTCTACCGCTAGGGGATTTGGAATCTACAATTGTATCTGTGTGCTAATGTGGTATGGCAACTCGAACTGATGTACGTACGTACGAAGTTCTACGTTGTTGCTGAATGACTGACTGACTATCGCACAATCATTCCTTATGAATGAGGGGAAATACAAATAATTGAGATGGGAAACGAGCCAATAAAACATACCTTTTTGAAGTGATCCAGTATGTCTTCATACATAGATGATCGAAACAAGCATAGGCGACAAACATAAGGCATTTCACGTTGACGATGAGTGGACTGAAGGTGATGTGCTAATAGTAATTTGCTGGTAGAAACTTTCCCACAAATGCGGCAACTGGGTGTATTTGTGATACCATTAAAGTTTGGTGCTAAAATCTCCATATGGTCAAAATTACTGACAGGATCATCATGACCATCTCCTATTCGTTGTTGAGTTAGTAGCTGGGAGGTGATTTGAACAAGGGGGTTCGCTTTTGCTTCATCATCTACCAAATTTGAATCAGAAGGCGGAACAGTATGCTCCTATAGGTATTACAAGAAAGACAAAAAAGCGACCTCATTAGAAACCAGCCACACATTATCAAACCACAAAGAGTGTGAAAAAATCATACCATTTCTATAGACCTTAACACTATATTAGTTCAAGAGGTATTTTGGTAGAAGGTAGTCTACAGTATAAAACATCCACTTAAATATATTGAGTTATACAAGGATAAGTTAACTTTAAAATGTTTAAATACAAAATTTTAGATACACAAATAAACATGATTAATTATCGCAAGCTTTTCGAGGATATGAATTGTGTAGGCTATTCACAAACATGACTGTTAGGGTATGCTTTCGTACGCCATATCACAAAAAATACGATTACTAATTGGAACAAAAGTTATGAGAGCCATGGCGAAAGTCTATTAAATAAAATAATGATAATAATACCAACAAAAACCAATTATTCAAGCTTCGCGAGTAGTTCGACTAAGGACAAGTATTTCAAGCTCTTAGTCATCAAAACAGCTAAATATTAGTTAACAGATAGACAAATAAAAAGAAAAACTGGTTGCTATGTAAGTTGAATATGGTTGCAAAAAATAAAAGTGAAAATGAAATAAAACACTAGTTCCATTGGAGTTGTGCGTAAACAACAAAGTGATATGAGAAAAAGACGAAATAGTTTAATGCTAAGGGGTTTGTATGAATTACTGACAACTGAAGACGAATTATGATTAGTACCACTTCAAAATAAAGAATTATAAATAAATAATTCATAACTCACTTTTTCAATGTGATCTCTTAGATCAAAAGCACAAGAGAACATTTGATTACAAACGGAACATTGTGTAGTATCTGCAGTGTCTAGGCAAGCTTGTGAAGCCTCATCAACATGACCAAGAATATGAGACATTAATTTCGTATTTGAGTAGAAAATCCGTTGACAAACCGCACATTTAAATCTGAAATCACCTTTTTCTTCCACATAATCAGCATTTCCATCTTGGCGCCCAAAATAATACTCGTCGATTGGAATGTACTTAACTAAATGATTTTAAATAGGATTGAATGATAAAATAAACAATATTGTGAGGCTTACGAACTCCGGATGAGCTAAGTTAGGAATAAAATAGTTCTAGGAAATAACCGCAGGATAGTTATTTTATCGAGTTCAGTGTTAACGGAATTTTATGAATTATGTTTTTAATATGGCTACTGAGCAAATGAAGTTACTTACGCCATGGTGTGATTGAAAGTTAAGAACAGAAAACTCTTATACAACATGGTCACGTGTTCGTTCGGACAAGTATTTTGAAAAAAAAAACATAAATTGGCATTATTGGGAACTATAGACAGAAATCCTAAGGATTTCCAATGTATAGAACCTATAAATTATCAACAGGGTATTGAAAACCTAATCAGTATGTTTCTTACCGCGTATCGTATTTTAGGGGTGTTTAAAAGGTATCTAGATGAAGATCACACACTTCTTAGACAGTTTTTCGTTTACTTTTCCTACTAAATGATGGTTATGATATACAAGGAAGGCCTTGGTAACTTTAAACTGAACCACACTGACATTTACTATTAGCTAACTAGTTAGTTTTGCTTTGAGTTTATGATTTTCCTATGTTCTAAAGTCATAGATATTGTTGTACGTAGGTTGTTATATGACATCTGGAATTCCGTAGAATAGCAAGCTTTCAGACCGAACCACGACATATCTTGCAATCCTTAATAATTAGCAATAATCTTACGAAGAACCCTATTTGATGTCATTTTTACCGACAATCACGTTTTCTGAATTGATAAAACTATGTGGAGGAGCACTGAACTGTCAGTAAATTCAAACAAATGAATGTATATTATATACATAGGGCATAGAATTCAGTTTTCTTATTTTTGATTTTATGAATTTGCAAAATCGTTAGAAATAGTATGTAGACAATTTGGGGTCAACAATGGATTTCTAAAAACAAATTAACGAAATTATCAATCTTACCTCCTTTACCATCTTTACATGGCTTTTTAACTGATAAACCCTTAAATGATTGAACTATTTCAATGCTTCCTTCTGGACCAGAATTTATTATATTGACTTCTGGTTCTGGAGCATCTTCATCTACATCTGCAGCATTACGAAAAACAATAGTAGGCGGTAAGAAAGTTCGTAGTGGCCGGACAGAACCGTGGAGTTTTGCTCGTTCACCTTCAACAAAGCATTCTGAAATATGAACTGCGGGCCAGTCAGAACGAATAGGTTTTTCAGAATCTAAAAACTCATCAGGAATAGGAACATGAGCCTTAACTATGGCTACTTCACCCTCTGAAACATGAAAATTAATGTAACATAGAAGTCTACCTTCAGAAATAGGAAATTCCCAATTATTTTGCTGCAGCGTATTATACACAGATATCGCCCCGGCATGTTGAAGTGCGTTTAAGGACTCTCCAGTTAGTAAACCATGCTCTCCTATTGTGACAGCCTCTTCTGTCACGCATACATTGCTACAAAGCGCAAGGCGACTGACTGCATCCAAAAATGTGCGGTATTCTCTAAGAGAAATAGTAGAAATGAATTTATGAGTCCATTTATCATACTGGACGAATAGCAACTACGAACAAAGTTTCATTACACTAAAACATTCAGTTCCCCAATAAACATGTTAGTACATATGCTTATTGAATGAGAAAACTTATAGTTCTACTTTTTAGGACACTGTACCTGAACTTAAACTTATAACCTGGTATTAAAATGCGTTGAGGACTGCTATGTCATTCAGTGATAGGACAGTTAAGATGGGCATCTTGATAACGATAGTCGTTATATAGGCCAGCGATACTGTCATAATATGTTACTTACGGGCAAGTCCGATAGCAGGCTTACTATAACTGTTTTTGTCATAGAGAGAGAAGTATCTAATGGCAATGTTAATATTGTTAACAATAACACTTCTCTTTGAGCCCCAGCTTCAATGTACATTCACCATTCGGAAACGTTATACATCGGTCTAAGCGCTGACCAACTACAAAACATCCATAACAACCTGCTTTCTCATTGTGATCAACTGTACCTAATGTCCAAACGAGCAAGTGCGTCACAGATTACAGCAACTAGTTTAATAGCCATGTATTTATTGAACCAAACACGATGCAACCCTGGGTCACCTATCTCCTTTAATTCAGAGATGGTTTCTGCAGATATTTCATTAAATTCCACCGGTTTAGTATTCTCTCTATAGATACCTATCATAAACACGTTACTAAACCTAGGGGCAATCATGTGTCATAATATAGGCCATGACTGTTGACTAGAGCTCCTTGAAAAAGAAAGTCTGCCTACGCAGATATGCAAGTTCAACGTATCAAAATCACAGCTACACAACCAAAGTTCTACATATCTAAGCAGGTTGGTTTTCAGTTCTAGATTATAGTAAACATGATTGCTGATGAACTTAGGTTAGACGCTTGTGATCTTTCGTAGGAAACTTCTGTTCCTTGGTTGTAGAAAGAAAACAGGTAATGTGAGTACTAACTTAAGATGATAACCTTTCACTGCTGTTATGTAGGTGAAGTGTTTAGTATTAAAAAACATTAACGTAAGTCGCACATTATGTCGGCAGTTGAAAACTGTTGTCAGTTTGTTTGTTAAATTTCAGAACACAGAGGAGGGATGCTCATACTCGGAGTAGTAACAATGCAGTTTGAGAAGGGTGTTGTTTTAGAAATTTGTTTTAATGTTAGATCTGATTTCCTTCTAAAGTCTTCTCTTACCGTGGATTACTTTTTCATTTGTATGTAATATGCTGAAACTGACAAAGTATATGTTATGTTTTATTTCATATGCACCAACCAAATAGGACACATTTTGAATGAACAACACTGACTGTAATTTCTTCTGCAGATCTTTGTAAATGACAGTGGAACTTTGCACTAACAACAGAAATATGTAACGAGCATCTGTCTTTTATTAATCTAGTAAACTATGTCATTATTTCCTATCAAATAATGTCTTGAACAATGTATCTTTTTTCGATCAAGTCAGAGTATGCCTTAGGGTATTCTGTATTAGAAGTGAAAGCGAACATACGAAACATTTGTGGCTAAGCGAAAGGTAGACAATTACGCCTACATTTGGGCGAGATGTTTTGATGATATTTCGAAGGTAAAGCGACCAAAAGTGAAGTCAAGGGAAGCTTCTCGTCAGGTATTCCGTTTTTTAAAATTCCCGATGAGACCTCTCCACCCCCCTTGCCCGGTAATATTTCTCACTGTCTCTGTAACTTGGGGGGTCAGTTTATTAACAGAAAACTGTGACACATTACATGAAACAATAAATACTGAATGATAAATATAAGCACTAAGCCCCTTATTAATGAAGCGGACAAAAGTAAACAACCTCGATAAAGAAACAATTGTTACAAGATTGGTATGGATTTTTAAATATAATTAGACTGTAACTTCAAGACATAACTTACTGTAGGCGTGTTTGATAAGCCTTTATTTGTGCATCTGATAAAGATTCATCATCACAAATGAGTGATAATGTAGCAAGACATCTCTTACGATGATCTGTTCTGTACGGCAGAGGAGCAAAAGGCTGCGACATTATGACCTTGAGACTAATGTATATATCTAAACAAACCCATGATATAATATCGCATGAAAATTCTCAGCCCTAAATCAATTTTTAGTGATAGATATGGAAAGTTGCATGGAGTACATATATCCTTTGAAGTTATAAAGTTACTAATATTCATTTCTAAATTTTCACTATGACTTGAAAAAAACAGTTTAGAGACAAAGACAAAATGGTAGTCAGTCCCTTTGGTTATTTTTGTGTTCCACATGAGGAATGGATAATTGGTAATATTTAAGCATCGACAAACGGTGGTGATACTACGTGTTCATGACTTCATCAGTACCAGTATTTGAAAATGAGTTACGAGACTTAAATGAAAACAATTTTCGTTTCTTAACTTTCTGTGACTTTCCCTTCTTTCGCTTAGTCTTAAAAGGAGAAATTGGTGATATATTATTCAGAACAACCGGTATTTGAAAATCATCGTATCGCCGTAATTGTACAAACGTTCTTTACATCAAAATCCGCTCGATTTTCGAACTGGCTCCGTTACCTTTTCCGAAATGGTCCAAGAACTAAGTCTTGTTTCAGACCCTGTTGTATTGCATATTTGGTCATGCCTTCACAATTATGCCTACAATGATGCTTTATTTGCAGCTGAAAGATTATATGCTGAAACACACAATAGCGAAAGCCTTTATATACTGGCAACCAGTTTGTATCGAATCGGCAGGCCGAGACAAGTTAATAAACTACTCAACTCTGTCAATTCGTTATCTCCTAAGAGTCGGTTAGTTTCTTAAAAATGGATTTACATTCGTTTATTAGATACTTGCTTGCAAAATGCTACTATGACATTGGTTCACTAACGGAGGCTGAAGATGCTATACTGTTTTCTGGTCTTTCTTCTTCGTCCCTAGACGAAATAACCAGTACTTATGAAGAACAATCTTGCTACGTTTTGCTACTTCTAGGGGATATTTGCAAACATCAAGGAAGACTTAGTGATGCTATTATTTACTACAAAAAATGTCTCGAAATGAATCCTCTTATGTGGTCTGCATTTAAAAACCTCTGTAATATCGGTGAATATGTTGAGCCTTCCTCTGTTTTCCAGAATCCTAGCGGCCTTAAACTAACAACACCTGTGTATGCCGTTATGCTCGACGATCTACACAGTAATCCGTATGAAAGTGCTTCACGAGAAAATGTCAACCCTCAAAACTGTGAGTCTTTTACCACTCAGGCTTTAATGTCGTCAAAAGATTGTGAAAGTAGTGATCAGGAAACATTTGTTGATACAGATTGTCTGTACACCAATCAACGTCATTTTGTCTCGTTTTGCTCTAGAAGCTTTATTGGTGATTTGGTACCTTCTCTCAAACCTGTAGACGTTCATACCCCAGACAAGGTTATGCCTTCTGCTTTGTCTCCAAAAGCTCCAAAACCTGTTAACCGAGTTGCACGCAAATTGGCACAAAATGTAAACTCGCAGTCCATGAAACCAAATGTACCTCGTTTTGGTTTACTTTCTTTTTTTCCTCAAAGTCCCATGTTCGCTTGTGTTCCCGTAAGTTCATGCTCTTTCTTAGTGTGTTATCAGTGTCCCTCATATTGCTTTTTAAGCTCATTTTCGAAATACTATCTATCTATTTTTCTTAAACTTTATTAAGTCCTCTATATTTATTACTCAATGTGATGAATTAGTGTAAAATTGTTGTGAGCAACATGTATCAAGATATCTCTAGTCGCTTAAACATAATAATCCTATCAGAAGAGTAGTTGGCTGTTTGTATTTTGGGGACAGTTGAGGGACTTGTGACAACAATGAAGACTGTTATGTTGAGTTGCTGTCAAGCGACTCGATCTATAGTTATACATAGCTAATATAATATAAAGGCATGATATGTTTCTTAATCCATTGTATGGAGACTATAGTTTAGGAAGCGATATGTAACGTAGTGATAAAGGAAGACATAAGACAGTTCACAACGGAAGAATTCGGAAAACTGGCAAATGCGATGGCAACTTGTCCCATCTGTTTATTCTCTGTTCCTAGAGGAGATGCGTATTCGGAATGGATAGATATTGATATAACCTAAAGGTATTTACCGATCGGTTTATGGCTACTTCAGTTGGTAATATTCCAGAGCACACAAAACCATGATGCGAGATAATGAAATTGCTTAGCTTTTGGAATCTCCTCGACGTATGTAGGATTCATTTGTTTGGATTCCCGAAGTTACTCGGCATACTGTTTACTGTTGTATGGTGGATTGACGGATAGGTCGTCAATCGCCCTTCATTAGCTCGATGACTAGATTTCTGCCTTGGGCTTCTCGTTGCCTCACAGATACCACCTAGAATAGTGATTGTTCTCACTAGTTTCTGATAATTGTCATTGGACAAGAAGTCCCACTCGAAGAGCGATAATTTGTAAGATACTACCTCTATAACCAGCCGCTATCTTTAAAACCATTTTAACTGAATATCATCATGTTTGAAGTATTCGTCTCTGAAGTTTCTACTTGACCACCATATCCATGTCATCCTAACCTACAAATTGTGAAATGATTGTTCAGGAATCACATCGTTTCTTGTATGATTTCATAGTTCATTTCGCTATCATACTTTAGGTATTTTCAAAAATTTCTGAGAATCAAACTACATCTCCGGAATCAATCCTCTCGAAAGCTGTGCAGTTGCCTTCAAGTCAGTGCTTACCAGAGTTACAGTTTACTCTTAACTCATTTAATAATAGCCAAAATGATATAACCTGTTTCCAAATCCCTCGTCAGCGAAATGATACTTCATGCAACAACAACACAACTATGGGGACTAAAAGGGCCCCTCATATTGATGAATCGAATGGAGACAGAAATGCTGCATATAACGTCAAAATTAATACATCTGTTACCTCTTCAGAGAAATCTAATGCTCTATCCGATACACCGACCAGTGCTCTACGTCATCTTGTCTCCACTGCAGCATCTAATCTTGGTTTTCTAACGCTTGAGCCAAATGTTACTTCAACTACCACCTCTCTTGTCAGCACACCAAGTGCCCGTCTTGAGCCACCTCTTTTACGTAGTACTTCTCAACGCAATTTGTATCCTACGCCCAGCGCCCGCCACAACCGCGATTCTCTCTCAGTATTGAGATCAAATTTGCAGTTCTTCAATCCTGCTTCTCAAAGTCCTGGCATGTTGACTTCTTCTTCAACACCAAGACCACTTTCGAGTCAACAAACATCTACGGGGTGTCGAGCTGTCGAGAACACCACTTCTGTAGACATTTCTACAGGTGGACCTCGGACAAGGTCTCAGGTTGCAGCAGCTGCAGCTGTAGCCAGAGCTTCTGGGATTCAGAGAAAGTCGAATAGATTTTTAAGAAGCCGAGGTCAGAACCGCAAGTTTGATTCTAAATTACTACTATCGGACTCGACGGGAAACTCTGCAAACATGCAACCTAAAATAACCAGTTCAGGTGCATATCCTGACCCCAGTTCCTTTAAAAGTATACATACTTCTACAAATGAAGATGCACCAGATTTCGGATGCAGCAATCATTATAATGCACCCTTGTCAATCGATGCCCCACCTATAACAGATGACCCGAGAATGCTCTCACTACAACAGTATTTAAACTTGTTAAGTCAACTTGGCAAAGCTTATCAGATGTTGGTGCGACATCAGTGGCGTTCAGCTACCCGTCTACTTTTAAAACTTCCAAGCTCTCAACTTCATACTGGTCGTGTTTTGGCGTGGGCAGCTCGTGCTCATATGGATAATTCAGATTATCAAACAGCTCATAAGTTGTTCAATGAAGCTCGTCGTATGGAACCATGGCAGCTATCTGGAATGGACTTCTACTCGACAGTATTATGGCAAGTCCAAGCTGATCAGGAATTATCACAATTAGCTCATGATTTATTAGAACTTGATCGTAATGCTCCTGAACCTTGGTGTGTAGCAGGCAATTGTTTCTCTTTGCAAGGTGAACATGAAGCGGCTATTAAATTCTTCCGTCGTGCTCTTCAGGTAAATAGTTTTTTTCGACTCAGTGTACAATACTACTTTATCATTTCCCTCTATGCCTTTCCCACATAGCTTATAAAAATAGCCAGTAACTTCATGTTGTACTACATTTCTTTTGTATTTTGTATTTTTTTTCTGTTTCAGTGGATGAAAACAATAAATAGCTATAACTTAAAAGTAATGAGTTTCCCGTCACATTTTAGGTGACTGTGGTCTTCATCATTGTGAGCCATTAGTATCTTTTGAGCATTCTCAAGACCACAACTCAATTCATATCTTTCGTGTATGTTTACTGATTTTATTCATTGGGTTTGTTTCTGATTACATGAAAACGTTACAGTTATGGTATTAAACATACAGAGCCAAACAGTGAAAACTGGAAAGGCTTCTTTTCAAACAACCTGTATACATGAATTTGGGAAAATGAAATTTATGTTGTGAGGATAATATTTCATATACTACATACAGCGATTCCTTGACATTATATCTGTTTCGGTTTAAGAACATAAGTTGTATTGTAACTATACTGGTTAGTCCTCAAGAAATCTATTCGTTCTTAATTAATGAAATTAAGCAGTTAAATCACATTAAGCATTTCTAGATTTACCTTTTATATTATCAATCTTTACCGGGTTACTTACAGGCTCGTCAGTTTACTTAATTCTTTTTACTGATGCTCGGGACTTTAAATGATTGTCCTGTCGTTTATGCTTTCGTTTTCTAGGTTTCACCTACGAGTGCTTATGCTTGGACACTTTTGGGTCATGAACAGTCAACTCTAGAAGAGTTTGATCGAGCACTAGCAGCTTTCCAGTTCGCCTTAAGAATTGATCCAAGACATTATAATGCTTTGTTCGGCATCAGTAATGTTTATTACAAACAAGAAAAGTTCGATCTTGCCGAAAATTACTTGGTTCGCGCAGTTGCACTTTTCCCTCAGTCGCATTTACTTTTGACTCATCTTGCAGCTTTACGCAGTCGACTAGGTAGACTTGATGATGGGTATGGAAGTGCAATGGATTTGATTAGTCGTGCTTGTAAAATTCAACCCAACAATCCACTAGCTCGGTACCACAAAGCATCTATTTTATATCACCTTGGACGTTATTCTGTAAGTCTTAATAAATATAGGTAATGAATAGGTTGTATTCTTTTAAGTAGTTGAATTAGTCTATTGCCAATTCGTTTTTTTCATGATTCACTCATACTGACTTTATCAATGGATTTCAGACTCATTTGTCAATATAAGTCAGTAAAAAAAATTTTAGTCAATTAAATTAACACGCTAGGTACTTGGATATGTGCGACAATCTTTGAAGATCTAATTTACTTTATTTTCATATCTGACTTGTTGAATAAAATACCGATCCTATCAACAGTTCCTTGTGCCTGTATATTATTAATATCCTTCAAATATGCGAACATGAATTTACTGGCTTATTTGATTTCTGTGTTTTCTTTGATTTACCTACACATTATTCTAAGTGAATACATTAATTAGTCATTTGGGGGGAAAGTATGTTAAAACAATATCTTCAGGCTTAAAAACAATTGTGAGAGTGGTTTTACATATGAAATTCTCATTATTCGCTAATTCTCGACCTTTTGGTGTTTATCTTCAATCATGAACTGTTAGATAATTATAGCTTAATTACCACTATATAGAGCTAATCCGTGTCGGGTAGAGATAGGTATCTACCGCACTACAATGGAAGATGGTCACGCAATTTTGTGGATTGCTTGAGGTTAGACATTAATACCGTTGGGTGCCGGCCCAGTGATCTAGTAGGTTAGGCGTTCGCACGCGAGACTGAAGGCCCTGGGTTCGAATTCCGCGAGCGGGATCGTGGATGCGTACTACTGAGGAGTCCCACAATAGGATGAAACGGCCGTCCAGTGCTTCCAGGTTTTCAATGTTGGTTTAACGTCAATCGGTTCAAGATCTCAAGCAATAACTATGGTATAATTTCTCGTTATCGTAGTTCAAATATATCTCCGACATTTTGGTTTCTTATTGTCCCTCTACATTGTTTTAGGACACATAATTTAAAAAACTATTTGACCAGACACTTTCTTTTCTGGTCGATTTTAGACAAAACCGAGTGGATCATATATATATATATATATATATATATATATATATATATGCAATGATATGATAACAGTGTAGGCTGTAGTCACTGAAAATTAAAATTACTTGTAGAACTCAACGTAATAGAATGACGATTGCATCTGTTAACGGTAAGCATCACTCTGGAACTTTTACATACATTTGATTGTCCAAATCTTTATCATATCTTCTGGTTTATGCAGTATCTTGTTTCTTACTTCTTTAATGGTATGATGATGTCATATCTATGATATTAATGGAGATGGACCCAAAGGAGAATAATTCTACATTTCAATATGTTATTCCATATAATGTTTCATTAAGTGAGGCTTTTTTGTGTCCTAAATTTTATCCGATTAAAATTTTAAAGTACTTTACATTGTTTGTTGTCCTCCTGATTAGGAAGTATTATCGGAGCTTCAAAAACTTTTGGTTTTAACTCCACGTGAGGCTATGGTTTACTTGATGATTGGACACACCTACAAAAAACTGGGAAATACACCACAAGCAATGATTCATTACTCATGGGCTATGGAGCTTGATCCTAAGGGTGCTAACAGTCATCTGAGAGATATAATGACCAACCCACCAATTTCAAGTCGCGGGATGAATCGACAAGACACTTCCGAGTCAGGGGGTTGCGTGGGGGGCCAAAACACCGGCAACTCGGCCAGACCACATTTCAGCTCATTTCAACTTGGTTTTTGTGCTAACTTCGAAGAAGAGGATGGTAATGAGATCATTGACCGAGCTTCAGGAGCAGATGAAGAAATGGTAAACAGTTTGCTTCATCCATCACAAAGTGTGACTCGTTCAAACTTAGTTCGCCGACTGACTGATTTCTCGTTACTGTATGAAATGGAAGGATATGAACAGGACCCTGTAATATCTGATGCAGATGAGGAGCACTACGATACGATGGATTTGAGTGGTGGAGTTGATAGTAGAACTGAGCGCAGCGTACCAGACGACTGAAGCAACTACCTTCGTCTTCTCTTATGTGATATTGATGAAACACCACTTTTTATTTCCATCCCTTAATTTTGGTCAGTCTTATTTACTTTCATATAAAACATATACAGGTTTCGACTCAAAGCCCGACGTGTATAAAGTTTTATTGCACATGTGTTGTATCGAATTTTCATATAAATATATGATCATTACAAAACTAAAAGCAGTTGTACATATGCCTTTTATTTTAATTTGGTAAGAAATATTCAGCTACAGTCCTTACACTATATATAAGTAATACCTATTTTGAAATTCCATCATTTACCTATTTGTTTTCAGATACAATCATTTCATCAGTAGTGTGTGCTTATATCTATGTAGATGTTTTATGAATCTAGACCGGCTAAAACAGTGAAGTTAAGCTTTCCCAGTGCTCAGCTTCATCGCACTACCTACATACACGGGTCATTATAAAACTGTGGGGTAATGTTTATATTCTATAGAACACTAGTTCTTGCTAGAGTATAATGTCGCTCAGTTATAGATGATGTAAGCCACCACATGAGCACAGGGAGCTAGCAAGTTAAGCGGCAAAAATGAATGAAAGTAGCCTGTCGGATCATATTATTAACTTGGTCATCTATAACATAGACAGACTTGATCTACCCATTTAGATTTAGATGTCCTATCGGATTTTTATCAATACGAAGGTACCTTTCTAAAGGTAGTTTTCATATGCAGGAGAGAAGTGCGTCAAACTCAAATAAGTAAGAGCACCAACCAACTAGTTAATAGTAACTTGAAATGTGAAATTCTCATGGACGTTACTGACAGCTAGGCGATTCTTGTCATAAGGCGGACATTGTTGTTTCAGGAATTTAGTTTGAGCCTATGATTATCTTCGTTTATATCATATGACCTTCAAGCACCTGGACTTAATATCGTTGATAAGAGATAATGCATTTTCCCTCCGCGTATCGGTCTCAATGTAACTAAGTATTAGAGCATTATGCTTTTAGTATGTCGCTAAGCCTAATACACTAGTTTACAATTTAAGATAAGCATACAGATGGTTTGTTTCATGAGTGGAAAATGGATGTAATCTGTCATCTTACAGCTTTTATTTACGATTCTGGGTTTCGTAGAAGCTTATTTTTGATTCGGGAACACTACAGAAGAAGCTTTAGTGCTGTGGAATAGAAAATGAATATGAGCTATACTTTACTACCACTAGTCTATCGGTCACAGATATACAGAAAATTCATTATCAGAAATACCGTATTTAATATGAATTCTACAAAGCCTGATACTGTCTCATTCTAAAATAAAAGACGTCGAAATTTGCAGCTTAAGAGAGTACTTAGGTGGTATCGTAAGTTCGTCGAATTAACCTGTCGCGGTGAACCAACTGAAAAGGTTTTGTTGAGTATTCGGCACATCTCGTATCAAATGCTATTTTAGATAGCCTGAGGACCTTACATTCATTTGTTTCTACTAAAGAACAAGTGTGTTCTTCCCGACTTATCATCCTTGTTTCTCTTCCGAGTACAACGTTTGGAAGATTTTTCTGTCAGAATCATCCGACTTTGTTTTTTAGAGTCTTCAAACTGTAAGACTAAAAGCAGGAAATTCCAGATCAAGAAGCAAAATCGTACTATTAACTATACTAAACTGTTGTGGTAAAGTGTCCATGGTTATGTTCCAAAAGTACGGAGCAAGTACGTCTGGAACAATTTTTGTCTACATTTCCAGGTTATCGAAACCGGTTTTCTTCGGGTCATCTAGGAAAATATATCTCAAGTTGGTTAGTCAGTAATTACTCACCACTAATGTATTCAACATTCCATAGTAATTTTCCAGTTACTACCAAACACTAGTTTGTTGTTTAGGTAAGCCCAAGATTCTCCAGTTCTTTGATGTCAGCCCACTAGTAAATATTCTGAGTAATCGTATACGTTTCGTAATAATATCGAATTGGAGTCTAGGTAAATCTCTAACCAATAGAACCAAAATTTGGTCTTTGAAATCTATGTGTTTCACAACAGGAAGTGACAAGGTTCAGGGATAGAGAATACATACAGTCAGTCAAGACGAGAGAAAATAAAGTACGTGTATCAAGCAGCGTTGGGAGCTACGTCAGAATGAATAACTATGAGTAACATTTATGCTTATAAGAAGATAATAATTTTCACATTGTTCGTTAAATAAAAACAGCTCGTAACAATATCAGACTGAATCAAGGTGGTAAGCATTTCAAGATCAAGTTAGTTGGTAGCCTTTTTATGTTAGCAACTTACATGTATATTTGTTTACTAAGATTCCCAACTTAAATGTTCTCAATCTCTGATCTGACTGTCTCAAATACCATCTTGATAGTGGAATTAAATAGTATGTTCGACCAGTAGGTATTATTTAATAAGAGTTGTAAGAGTATACCGTTTTCAAGGTCATTTCTGATTTAGGAACTTCTTTTAAAGCATCCACGAACCTATGGCTATCTCTTAGCAAGACATCAATATTTGTCTTTACTTTGGATACGAATCTAAGTAAGACACGTAATTATAAACTGTCCTACCAACTATATACGCACCACTACGCTATGTAACTTAAAACATGTAAAATTCACTTGAAAATTATATTTGTCGTTAAAGATTAGAAACTCAACTCCAGTTGTTTCCACATTTTTGTGGCTTGTCTTGATTTCAAGAAAGTATTCCAGATTTCTTGGATAGACACTTCCCCGATATAATTTTTCTGTCCATATACTGGAGTGTAGGAAACGTGAAACCAATTGAAAAACAACTAGATGTAACTTGCCAACTGTCGTTTATTTGTCTGAAATGTAATAATGGAATCAAACGCGAAATAGTCTGTCAGTAAGTTTATCTCCAAAATAGGACGAAACATTACAATAGATTAGAACTAAAAGGGACGTTCACAGTGTAAATATTCCTCTAACAGAATTTTCTTTGGTACTAGCTGCTTCTTCACACTGCAAAGTTGTAGATATTATTCGTTCTTCACTTCAACGACTTAAGTCTTGAATTACTTTATTTCTCGAGTAGTGATCTCCAGGGCTGCTGAAACTATCGTTGCTCCAACAGAAACTGGTTTAGGTCTATCACTGCCTTTTAATTTTCTTTTTAGCCTTATTTACTGAAATTACCAGAATGAAACTAGTCAAACAAATAATAGTGATGAGACGTGTGCATTTACCAAACAAACAGGGTTTCTAAATCGCTTCGAACCGATAGCTTTGACCAAAGTTGTTATTCATGTGAAATAAATGCAAGATCAGTAATCATCAGTGACATAGTCCTACAGTAAAGTTTTACTATTGGTATACATTTTACGACGCATACAAGTTGAACAAACGTTGTGTTGTCATTATTTAGATCTTATAATCGCACGAACGGTTTAGTTTTATCATTCATTACATTTTATGTCACCCATTGTAGAGATGGACAATTTGGACCTATTTTTAAGTAACTTCGTCGATATTCATATCACTCATAACCTCACTTAATTTGTACAATTCTTGTTTTCGACTGTAAAATGTTATTTAAATTGTCATGTTAATTTACTCGTTCAAATACACATGTTACGCTAGTTACTAGTGAAAAAATACAGGCTTCTACCTGCTATACATATTTTACCTGGTGTTCCAATCATCTTTCTGGTTAATTCTCCTTCATAATGTTCCGGTGTATTTATTAGTTCAGATACAACACTCATATATATGAGATGTCTTGATTTTGGAGTTATTTTCAACTTTGTGACCATCCAACTTGCAGGAAAAACCGTATAATTCTTTATACTATTAACCCAATTTAGACTGTATTCTGCGTAAATATTATCGAAAGGGTTAAAATTCCTATGTTGTTTATGATTCCGAACACAACAAGCCCACATCATCAGTGTATTCAGATTGTGACTGTTCGAAAATATATTTTATAAATGTCTCCAGTAGTTCGTATGCGCCACTCATCTTCTATTAGTTCAGCTGCTACACACAGTCTTCCGACTATAAGGAAACTGGCGTTTCCTAAATCCCTGAAAATTGTGGGAAAAACAAAATACCCGGGTAACCCAGTTTGATGTGAAACGGAATTCCTACGTAAGGGACTATTTGAACCTTTTAAGGCAAAATTACGATCATTGGCACTGTTTGTACCTTAACATGAAAATATATATAGCTCTCCACAGAGGCGACCTTAGCTTTTGTGTTGACACCAGAATTGGCTGTTACTCGTGCTCTACTCAGATCTAAAAGTAGACTGAGTCTAAGCAATTACAGGTAATACAGAACAGTTTGTCGTAAGCCAGGGTTATAGTTAACTATGTAGTCAAGCTGTTCTTTGTTCACGGCCTAACAGTGCGACCTGTCCGGTAAAAGACAATACAAGCGATGGGTACTGCAAGCCGGGCTTTCTGGTACGACGCAAGGGATAAATACATAAGCGTTGATAGTGATCTGACAAAAAGATGTAAGCCTAATAAATTTTGAACTTTATATTGAATATCTGTGTTTATGTTCACAGACTTTTCTATGATTTCACCTTAAAATTACTATTTACTGCATTTTTTAAAGATGTCTTCAGTGAACGTTATTACATAAACTTTCTTAGCTCGTGTACATTTCCGTTTTCTATAGGCTCTTGAGATGTGCATTCTGTCAACAAAGTCCGATTTCCCCTTTTCATGATTGTCATTTGTTTGTTGACTCATATCAACAAAACCGCAGTGATATTATTCTGATATTTACTTTATAGTAGAATGACGCTTTATTTTTTACTTGTAGGACATAGTTGATGAAATTTTAACGGAAACAACAGCTATATACAAATGGTAAAAGCTACGAGGAAGTAAATTGCTCTTGTGGAATGCAAATGTCATTCTTTGAATTCAGCCTACGCTATTATTTGTGACACATAAGTCTTGCATAGACATGGTGCAAGATAATGCAAGTGTTGGCGAGTTATAACTGACCCTATAGGGTCAGTTCAACAACGTGATTAAAGTAGTATTTGTAGTTTCATATACTTTCGTCTAGAAATCCATTGCCCAGTTATTGACTCACATCTTTCATTGCTTTTATGTTAAAGGTGTAGGACAGAGAACATGATTTTATGCAAAACAATGAGCAACTGGTTTACGCGCCGCGTGAAGTCACAGAAATGACACGAAATTAACTGAAAGCACAACAAAAACGCGTCTATAAATTTCTGAAAC